TGTCTCCTCCCCTATTGTGGAGTTTCTGGATGTGACCCAGAGTGTGCTCGGCCTCTGTAGCATGTGCTGGGTGTAGCCATGTGATTCAGGTTGGAGGTGCAGGGGATCATCTGCTCTGAGCCAGGTAAGGCCTGGACAGGACTGGGGCAGCTGTCGAAGAAGCCAGTTCTGATGGGAGAGTAGGCATGGATAGGGAGGGGACAGGGTCACCAGGTCTGTGTGTCACCTGTTCTTGCTGCTTGGTCTGCCCTGGGAGTGATAACAGAGGTGGAGGCTGCTGTGGATCCACTTTGGCTTCCCAAAAGCGGGTGTTCATATGGGGAGCAAGGTGGGTGGGGGACAAACTGGTCTCTGAGGTGTTGAGTGATTCTTTGCATGGCTTTGTCCTTTTTCTCTCTGCTGTCCCCAACAGCTCTGCTGTACCAGCCCATTGACCAAGTAAGTTGTGGGAGGGCACCAGAGTCACTGAGAACAGACCATTTGAAAAGTCAGGCAGAGGGATCCTGGGCCCTGAGTATGCCTCCCTGGCCTGTGGTAACCATGCCAACAGGGCCAGGGCCTAAATAGAGCTTAGCTACTGAGCTTGGCATTTGGCCAATTGCTCTCAGTGGAGGCAGGAATATTTTGCTTCCCCAACCCCTGTCTTTCGGTCTCCAGTATCCTTGGAGCAGCTGCAGGGTGGGTAGAGGGGTGTCTCTCCCAGCTGCGTGGTGAGATGAGCGTCCACCTGGCTGCCTCTGCCAGAGGAAAAGAGTAAAGACTGCAGCAGGGAGAAAAGCCAGCTGGGGCCCTTTTAGAGTCAACCCTGCTGCTCCGATTCTAATTTTCAGTTCAGATTTTGCAGGCATGAGTGTGGGTCCCTGAGGGCCTGCCCTTTGAATTCTTTCGGTGAGGACTGAGCATTGCCCAGGGGCTTCTCATTTGAGTCCCAGAAGCACGGCTCCGAATTCACCACCTCATCCCTTCCCAGGACCTGCTGAAGCGCACACCTGTGGACCACCCAGACTGCCTGCCGCTACACGATGCCCTCCGCATCCCCCAGGACTTCTTTCTGTCATCAGTGAGGACATTGACCCCTCTGGACTGCAGTCACAATGGACTCCCAAGGGGCAGGTGAGCTCAGGGCCCAGCAAGGCCTCACACTCAGGTTGAGGAGCCCGGGGTGGACCAGATCCCCAGTTTCTTCTCTTACGGCACAGGTATCACTTTGCGCCCCTGGTCTCTGCAACCCTGATCCCCCATTCCCAGCCAAGGAGAAGTCTTTGGTCCTTGGTCACACTGATTTGATTCCCTGTGGCATTTTGGGCCCGAGGCTGAGAGCTTTAAGCCCAGTGTGTCAATAATTTTCCTAGGAATCCACTGAGCCAGAAGAGGAGACAGGCCTGGAAAGTCTCTCCATGTCCATAACACAGTCTTTGAGCTGTGTCAGAGCTGGATTCTTTTCCTCGGGTGGGCTGTCTGGAGACCCCAGGCATTGCTTCCCACACCAGGGAAGTCAGCCTGTGGGTACCTCATTCTTGATGGCAGACACCAGCCTCTGGCCAGCGTGATGCCATCAGGGTGACCCAGGAGGCTGAGGGAGCAGGAGATCTCAGCCGCTGTAGGTTGGCCTGCACAAGCAAGAGTCAGGGAGTGAACCCCACAGAGGGAAAGGCTAGTACTAGAGGTGGCCAAGGCCATCCAGGTTGCTGGAGCTTTTTTTTTTTTTTTTTTTTTTTTTTTTTGAGACGGAGTCTCACTCTGTCGCCCAGGCTGGAGTGTAGTGGCCGGATCTCAGCTCACTGCAAGCTCCGCCTCCCGGGTTCGGGCCATTCTCCTGTCTTAGCCTCCTGAGTAGCTGGGACTACAGGCGCCTGCCACCTCGCCCGGCTAGTTTTTTGTATTTTTTAGTAGAGATGGGGTTTCACCGTGTTAGCCAGGATGGTCTCGATCTCCTGACCTAGTGATCCACCCGTCTCGGCCTCCCAAAGTGCTGGGATTACAGGCTTGAGCCACCGCGCCCGGCCTGCTGGAGCATTTCACATGAGCTCCTGGATATCAGACAGCAGTTTCCCTGGGAAACTTCTATATGCAAGGATGGGGGTTAGCCCAGTGAGGGGAAGCAACACTCAGCATTAGAGGCACAATTCACCCCTGTGGGTCGGCAGCCTGGCCCAGATCAAAGGCTTCCTGATGGATAGAGGCTGTTAAGTGGCCCTTAGGAGTGAAGACTGCCAGGGTTCATGCTCCTGTGTTGTATTTGTGAGCGAGGGGCGGGTCTGGAGAGTGTCTGATGGTGCATAGGGAGCTGTTTCTGTGCAGTTGCTGGTGCCAGTTTGCAAAACCATGGAATGTCACTAGTTTGTTTTGGTCTGGGGATATCTGAAAAATCTCTGGAAGACTTCGAGTAGCATCGGTTGTAGGTCATCTTAACTGTATGCCCTCAGTACACGCACCTACATATTGCAGTATACGTAGGTCACACGGCATGTCATGGAGACAGGAAAGGCTGGGACAGATGGTCACAGCCCCAAAGAAGCCCTCCTGACTCTGAGAGTGGCTGAACAGAAACTATGGAAATCCTCATGGAGTGGAAACCATCCGGAGCCCAGGTGAGAGGCAGCTACAGGTCATCCCAGGACACTTTTGCGGCCCCACCCAAGGCAGCCCGGGGTCTCCCATCCCCTGGGTGTTCTTTTTTAAATGTGTCCACCATAGATGAATTTGGATTTGGTTCCCTTGTTGGGTCTTGTTGTTGTGTATTTTTGTGTGAATGCCAATACCACATTGTCTGGATCACTAGAGCTCTTCTATGTCATTTGTAATCAGGGAGCATAATACATCCATGTACTTTGTATTTTCCAGTGGTGAGATTGCTAGATGACATAGTAGTTGTATTTTTAATTTGAGGAGGAACTGCCGGCTATTGCTCATAGTGCTTGACCTGGGAGGCAGAGGTTGCACTGAGCCAAGATTGCACCACTCCATTCTAGCCTGGGCAACAGAGCGAGACTGTCTCCAAAACAAAACAGAGATTCTCTGTGACAATGACTGCATCAGCCCCTCAGGAGGGAGTGCTTCTCCAGGGCAAGGTGAGGGGAAGCCCAGTGATGGGAGCGCTGCCCGGACAGGAGTCAGTTCCAGTGGCGGGGGCCCTGGGCTTTGGCCGAGGACTGTGCATTGGCAGCTGCTCTGCCTCTCATAGCCCTTCCCAGCTGCACACATCATGAGTGTCAGTGTGCAGTCACAGGCCTGCCTCCTTTGGGCCACTTTCTGACCATGATTTTTGCCTGTGGGGCAGGGTAATTTCAGGATCTAACTTAATGCACTTGGATGTTCTTAGCCCCAGGAGGCAGCTCTTCTCATTCTAGCCTTTTGTTTTGTTTTGTTTTATTTTGTTTTGTAGAAATGGGGTCTTGCAATGTTGACCAGGCTGGTCTCAAACTCCTGGGCTCAGGTGATCCTCACACCTTGGCCTCCCAGTGTGCTGGGATTACAGGCACGAGCCACTGTGCCATGCTAATTTTCTTACTACTAGTTTTTGTAGAGCTAGGGTCTCGCTGTGTTGCCCAGGCTGGTCTCTAACTCCTGGCTGCAAGTCACTCTCCTGCCTCAGCCTTCCAGAATGCTGGGATTACATCCCCTTCTTACCTTCTCTGCCAGAAGAGCCCCTGTAGTGTGTGAGTGCTGAGTCATGCAGTCTTCTGGGTGCTGAACGGGCTTTGCCGCTCTGGTCCTGGGCTCCGTATGTGGACGTGATCTGTGTGAACAACTACTACACTTGGTATCACGACTACGGGCAACTGGCATTGATTCTGCTGCAGCTGGCCCCCAGTTTGAGAATTGGTGTAAGACTTATCGCAAGCCCATTATTCAGAGCGAGTACAGAGCGACAGAATTGTAGGGTTTCACCAGGTAAGCGGTGTTGAACTTTGTGATTGTGTGTTCTCTCTGGGCAGAGATGTCACTCGCCTCCCCTGGCCTGCCCTGTGCCCACTGCAGTGTGCCCCTTGCTTCACCTTTGGGCTCACCTCCTGCTACCCCGTCCACGTTGCCTTCTTGCCAGCAGCCAGGCCTCTGCCCCACTCGCTTGGTCCTCAAAAGTGGCCTCCTTACCGGCCTTGTTTCCAGACAGCCTCCTATCACCCATGCCCAAGTGGTCTTTCTAACTCCTGACCTCAAGTGATTTGCCTGCTTCAGCCTACCCAAATCCTGGGATTATAGACGGGAGCCACCACGCCCAGCCTGTCCTCATTTTTTTATCCCTCTCATTTTTTTGTCTTCCTATCCAAAGATAGGTTGCTTTATCTTGTCGGTTTTTTTTTTTTATGTGGATTCCTGAACCCCATCCAGCCCCTCGTTCCCTCCCCAGCCAGCTCACACTGGTTTCTCACAGCTCCTGGGACTCCCGCTGACACATAAAGAACAGCCACCCACAGTGGACTGCGCTGTTCTGTTTGCACCCTTAAATTTATCGTGCTTACAGAATGCCACTTCTGCAAACTAGTCAAGTAGGGGGAAGTGGCTCGTGGATATGCACCCTTGCTCATCCCCTTTGAAAAGGTAACCAGTTCTGATTTCTTTTTTCTTTGAGACAGAAGTTCATTCTTGTCACCCAGGCTGGAGTTCCGTGGCACAATCTTGACTCACTGCTACCTCTGCCTCCCAGTTCAAGCGATTCTCCTGCCTTGGCCTCCTAAGTAACTTGGATTACAGGTATGCACCACCATGTTCTCCTAATCTTTTTTTTTTTTTTTTTTTTTTTTAGTAGAGATGAGGTTTCACCATGTTGGTCAGGCTGGTCTTGAACTTTTGACCTCAAGTGATCCACCTGCCTTGGCCTCCCAAAGTGCTGGAATTACAGGCGTGGGCCACCATGCCTGGCCCCAGTTCTGAATTCTTTTTTTTTTTTTTTTTTGATGAGGCAGAATAAAGTTTTATTTTTATATTAAGCTACTTTGCCTCAGTGGTTACACAGTAAGGGATAGAGGGTAGATGAGGACAAGAACACCCTGAGAAAGTATTTTACAGCACAAGCTTTATGAGGAATAGGAGAACACATTTTTTTCACATTATACTAAGTCCAGCAGAGGCCAGGCTCTGGGGCTGTTGCTCTTATTCCTCAGTGGAGGCTTCAGGCTTTACCACTTAGCACGTTCTCCAGGGCTCTGGTTACCTGATCAGCACTGAAGTTGTTCAAAGGGACATTCTTCTCTTGGCCAAATGCGTAGCGGGCCCAGAGCTTGGGCTGCACATCGGAGCATTTGCGGATTAGGATGGGTAGGTCAGGATTCACCTTCTTTAGCTCCACATAGCGTTTCTCAATGAAGTCCCTGACACCCTGGCTGCCGGGCAAGCGCTGACATAAGTGGATGCGAATCTCACGCAGGCCCAGCTTTGCCCTGATTCCTCAACTCACTGCGGCCGCCGCCATCTTGGCTAATACCCCCAGTTCTGAATTCTTAAGAAACTCCCGAGAGGTTCTAGGTCAGCACTGATAGACCTGGGTGCTGCAGGTGCTGGGTGTGGTGGCTCACACCTGGAATGCTAGCACTTTGGGAGACCGAGGTCAGAGGCTCTCTTGAGCCCAGGAATTTGAGACCAGTCTGCACAACATAGACCCCATCTCTACAAAAAATTTAAGATTAGTTGCGGCCGGGCATGGTGGCTGACACCTGTAATCCCAGCATTTTGGGAGGCCGAGGTGGGTGGATCATGAGGTCAGGAGTTCGAGTCCAACTTGACCAACATGGTGAAACCTCGTCTCTACTAAGAAAATACAAAAATTAGCTGGGTGTGGTGGTGTGTGCCTGTAATCCCAGTTACTCAGGAGGCTGAAGCAGGAGAACTGCTTGAACCAGGGACGCAGAGGTTATAGTGAGTTAACATCGTGCCTCTGCACTCTAGCCTGGGTGACAGAGCGAGACTCCGTCTCAAGAAAATAAGAAAAATAAAAAATAAAATCAGTTGGTTATGGTTGTGCTTGCCTGTAATCCCAGCTACTTGGGACGCTGAGGTGGGAAGATTGTTTGAGCCCAGTAGGTCAAGGCTGCCGTCTGCCATGATTGCACCACTGCGCTCCCACCTGGGGGACAGAGTGAGACCTTGTTTCAAAAAAGAAGCCTTGCAATGATAGAAATGTCCCTTATACGCACTGTGTGAAATGGTGGCCACTAACTACATGTGGCTATTGAGGTCTTGATATATGACTAGAATAGCTGAATTTATTTAGTTTAATTAAAAATAATTTTTTTTTTGAGAGAGCCTCACTCTGTTGCCCAGGCTGGAGTGCAGTGGCATAATCACAGCTCACTGCTCAACCTCCTGGGCTCAAATGATCCTCCCTCCTCAGCCCCCCAAGTGGCTGGAACCACAGGCATGCGTCACCACACCTGGCTAATATTTAAACTTTTTGTAGAGACTGGGTCTCACTGTGTTGCCTAGGCTGGTCTTGAACTCCTGGGCTCAAGTGCTCATCCTCCTGCCTTGACCTCTCAAAGTGCTGGGATTCCAGACCTGAGCTGCCATGCCCAGCCTGGTTTAATTTCATTTTACATACATACATACATATATTTATTTAAGATAGGGTCTTGCTCTGTCACCTAGGCTGGAGCGTAGTGGTGCAAACGCAGCTCACTGCAGCTTTGACCTCTGGGGCTCAAGCAGTCCTCCCACCTCAGCCTCCCAAGTAGCTGGGACCCCCGGTGTGTGCCACCATGCTTGGCTACTTTGTGTAGTTTTTGTAGAGATGGGGTCTTGCTATATTTCCCAGGCTGGTCTTGAACTTCTAGGCTCAAGCAGTCCTCCCACTTTGGCCTCCCAAACTGCTGAGATGACAGGCATGAGCCATCATGCCTGGTCCCAAGGCATATTTTTACTTCTAGTGTAGTTCAGCCTTAAGACTGTACCAGCAGATAGAGATGGAAAAGTAAGATGAATCGAATATCAAATTACATTTATAAATAAAGCAATTACTAATTAATGACTTTCTTTCTTTCTCTTTCTTTCTTTCTTTCTTTCTTTCTTTCTTTCTTTCTTTCTTTCTTTCTTTCTTTCTTTCTTTCTTTCTTTTCTTTCAACAGAGTCTTGCTGTTGCCTATGCTGGAGTGCAGTGGCGTGATCTCTGCTCACTGCAGCCTCCACCTCCCACGTTCACACCATTCTCCTGCCTCAGCCTCCTGAGTAGCTGGGAGTACAGGTGCCCGCTACCATGCCCAGCTCATTTTTTGTATTTTTTGTAGAAATGGGGTTTCACCGTGTTAGCCAAGATGGTCTCGATCTCCTGACCTTGTGATCTGCCTGGCCTCAACCTCCCAAAGTGCTGGGATTATAGGCGTGAGCCACCATGCCTGACCATGTTGGTTTTTTTTTAAACCTCCTTTTTATTCTGGGTTAGATCATTCCCTGGCTGTCTTTATCCTAGCATCAGTCAGTCCTGCTGTCACTACAGCCCCCTGTGAGGTCAGGTATTTTCGTCACAATCAAGTGGATCTTTATTTTTTATCTGACATTTACAATTCTGCCAGTTCTGATTCTTAAATTCTCTTTGCCTTGAATTCCAGGATCCATCTCTGATGTTCAGTGAAGATGACCAGAACAGTCTGCTAGAGCAGTACCATCTGGGTCTGGATCAAAAACATAGAAAATACGTAGTTGGAGAGCTCATCTGGAATTTTGCTGATTTCATGACTAACCAGTGTAAGTGGCAGTTTGGCTCATGGGATAATATACCTGTCCTCATTTTTTCAGGTTGCCTTGCCCTTTCTGGATATTTTGGTTGTAAGAATATTGGAAAGAAAGTGAAGAAACTGGTTTAATCTATGTAGGTCATGCTGAGGATTTCCTAGGTAAAGGAAGTTGTGCTTAGGAAGTAGGAAAGCAGTCAGGCCCCCGCTTCCCAAATACAGTCAAAAAGCAAACAGGAGAGTCTCCTACAGTGAGGTGGACATGGCTTGCTTGCCTTTTTCTTGTCTATTTCATAGCCAAGGAGGAAGGAAAAACTGGACCTCATTATGGATTTACTTTTGGGATACACTGATTATTCCAGAGGAAGGTACAAAGTCTGAGAAGCTTAAGGTATTTCAGTGTGTTTTATATTACTCACTTGCAAAAAGCAGGCTCATCAAACACAGGTGAGTTTCAATGTATCTTGAATATGGCAGCATTTAAAAGTCTTCAGACCGGGCATGGTGACTCATGCCTGTAATCCCAGCACTTTGGGAGGCCAAGGTGGGAGGATCCCTTGAAGCCAGGAGTTTGAAACCAGCCTGTTAAGCAGAGCAAGACCCCATCTCTACAAAAAAATAAGCACATTAGCTGGGTGTGGTGGTGTGTTCCTGTAGTTCCAGCTGCTTGGGAGGCTGAGGCAGGCGGATCACCTGAGCACAGGAGTCGGGGGCTGCACTGAGCTGTGATTGCACCACTGCACTTGAACCTGGGTGACAGAGCGACACCTGTCTTAAAAAAAAAAAAAAAAGGGTCTTCAAAGACCAGAAGATCTGTGCTGTCACATTGGGTGACTGAGGGGCTGCAAAGTTTGCAATGAATGTTTCCCATTTCTTCTTAGTTTATGGACTTACCATCCTTGGCAGTTTGGTGGGTTGGAGAAGGATATGGTGATGGCGGGAGTTACAATACATTACTTGTAGGGGAAGACAGGCTTTTGAAAGGTTAACGCTTAAAAGTGAGAATGGAAAAGGGATGAGTGAATGAACAAGATGAGGTGAGAGGGAAGAGGTAAAGGGAAAAGGAGAACGAGAAGCTCTTCTCTGCATGGCACCTGGGATGAATGGTTTCTGGGGACATCCCTGATGGCAGTTTTGTGGAGAGGCGCAAAGATTTATGTGGTAAGAAACGAGCTGTAGGCCCAGCGCAGTGGCTGACAGCTGTAATCCCAGCTACTCGGGGGGCTAAAGCATGTGAATCGCTTGAACCCAGGAGGTGGAGGTTGCAGTGAGGGAAGATCATGCCATTGCACTCCAGCCTGGGCAACAAGAGTGAAACTCCATTTCAAGGAAAAAACAAAAAACAAAAAACCAGGGGGCTAGGTGCAGTGGCTCATGCCTGTAATCCCAGCACTATGGGAGGTGGAGGTGGACAGATCATGAGGTCAGGAGTTTGAGACCAGCCTAGCCAACATGGTGAAACCCCGTCTCTACTAAAAGGACAAAAATTGACTGGGCATGGTGGCGGACGCTGGTAATCCCAGATACTTGGGAGGCTTGAACCCAGGAGGTGGAGGTTGCAGTGAGCCGAGATCGCACCACTGCACTCCAGCTTGGGCAACAGAGGGAGACTCTATATCAAGAAAAATAAAATTAAGTGAAGAAGGAGGAGGAAGAAGAGGAAGAAAAAGAAGAAGAAATAGCTAGATGTGGTGGCTCAGGCCTGTAATCCCAGCAATTTGGGAGGCGGAGAAGGAGCAGGAGGAGGAAAGGAGGAAAAGCAAATAGCCAGGTGAGTCGTGGTGGCTGGTGCCTGTGAGGAGGAGAAGGAGGAAGAGGAGGAGGAAAAAGAAATGGAGGAGGAGGAGAAAGAAACAAACAGCCAGGCCTTGTGTAGTGGCTCATGCCTGTGAGAAGGAGGAGGAAAAAGAAATGTAGGAGGGGGAGGAGGAAAAAGAAATGAAAGAGGGGGAGGAGGAGGATAAAGAAACAGAGGAGGAGGAGTTGGAGGAGGAGGAGGTGGAGGAAGAGGAGGAGTTGGAGGAGGAGGAGGAGTTGGAGAAGGAGGAGGAGTTGGAGGAGGAGGAGGAATTGGAGGAGGAGGAGGTGGTGGGATTACAGGTGTGAGCCACTGCATCTGGCTGGAAATCACATCTCATCATAAGATCTGGAGGGCACATACTCGAACCACATTAGCCTTTAAGGGAAATTTTGGGCACCTGGCTATTCCTGAGAAGTAAATTAGCAACTTGATAAGAAGAAGGTAGTAATTGGCTGGGTGCAGTGGCTCACACCTGTAATCCCAGCACTTTGGGAGGTCAAGACAGATAGATCAACTGAGGTCAGGAGTTCAAGATCAGCCCGGCTAACATGGTGAAACCCCATGTGTACTGAAAATACAAAAATTAGCTGGATGTGATAACGGATGCCTGTTATCCCAGCTACTTAGGAGGCTGACACAGGAGGATTGCTTGAACCCAGGAGGTGGACGGTGCAGTGGGCTTAGATTGGACCACTGCTCTCCAGCCTGGGAGACAGAGTGAGACTCCGTCTCAAAAAAAAAAAGAAAAGAAAAAGAAAAAGGTAATAAGAGCTCAGAACAATAGCCATCCAAGTTGGTTACAGCCATAAGATATCTGATCCCCTATAGAAAGTAAAGATGACATCTTGACAAATGTCTCTAAGTTGTTTTCGGAAGCGCAGATCTCCACCGGATGAAAAATGGTGACAGCTTTCCCTTCGACCTCAGATAAGGGTGAACCGAGGACTGAACTCTGACTGGCGTTCTTTGTTCCAAATTTCTTCCTGAGGGGCCTGGAGGGAATCACACTCACAGGCAGAAACTTAACACCCCTTCTGCTGACCCCAAGGTTTTAGATAAAGCTTTGCTTTCTTAGCCAACTGTAAACTGAAGAAATACTTGAATTGGCCAGGCGTGGTGGCTCACGCCTGTAATTCCAGGACTTTGGGAGGCCGAGGTGGGTGGATCACCTGAGGTCAGGAGTTTGAGGCCAGCCTGGTTAACATAGTGAAACCCTGTCGTTGTTAAAAATACAAAAACTAGCTGGGTGTGGTGGTGAGCATCTGTAATCCAGCTACTCAGGAGGCTGAGGCAGGAGAATCACTTGAACCAGGGAGGTGGAGGTTGCAGTGAGCTGAGATCGGGCCATTGCCCTCCAGTCTGGGTGACAGGGTGAGACTCAAAAAAAAAAAAAAAAAAGAAAAAGAAAAAGGAAGGCATCTTTTCTGGCACCCTTTAGTCTTATTCTTTTCTTTTTTTTTTTTGTTTGAGATGGGGTCTCGCTCTGTCACCTAGGCTGGAGTGCAGTGGCACAATCTTGGCTCACTGCAACCTCTGCTTCCCGGGGTTCATCAATGCTCCTGCCTCGGCCTCTCATGTACCTGGGATGATAGGTGTGTGCCACCCCGCCTGGGCAATTTTTTTTTTGTTTTTTTGTATTTCTTGTAGAGACAGTGGTCTCATTATGTTGTCCAGGCTGGTCACAAACTCCTGGGCTCAAGTCATCCTCCTGCCTCCCCCTCCCAAAGTTCTGGGATTACAGGTGTGAGCCACTAAGCCCGTCCTGAATTACTGATTTATACATACTGTATAAACTTTTGCATCCTACTTTTTCTTTCTTTTGTTAAATGTGGCCTAAAGCTGCCTCATAAACAGTGAACTATATCCTAATTTAAGCATGTAAGCATTTCACTAAAGGAATATACAAGTAAAATTTTAAAGAAATAAAATAAGAAAAAAAGCACAAACATTTGGGAAAAAGCCTTTAGGCCTTGTCAGTTTCTACAATGTATTTATTTTCACTATGCTGGGGACTCCATTTCCAGTATTAAGGTCCATTCTCAGAAGGTGGATTTGGCGAGCATGAGAAAAGGGGTGGAGGAGTAATCGTACAAACAACTGTGTCCAGTCCAGGTTCCTAGGACCAGAGGGACCCCTCTGTATGGCAGAGGCACCCGACAGCCATAATTGATGTGTACCCTCAGAATGAATTTACGGTCAAAGAAGAAAGTCCGTTCGGAGCCCCAAGCTAAGGAATCAGGAGTGACAAGATCCTGAAAGGATGCCAACCTGTGAAACTCTGAGTCAAGAGGTCAAGCTGGGCACTTGGTTTCTCAGGTCGACCGCTTGGCCCTCTTCCAAGTTGTACTTTCCTTCTTTCCTTTACTTCCTATTCTAAAGTTTTTTTAGTAACCATTTTTTAAATACTATCTCACTCTATACCCAGGCTGGAGTGCAGTGGCTCAATCTCAGCTCACTACAACCTCCACCTCCCAGGTTGAAGAGATTCTCCTGCCTCAGCCTCCCAAGTAGCTGGGATTACAGGCACTCACCATCACGTCCAGCTAATTTTTGTATTTTTAGTAGAGACATGGTTTCACCATGTTGGCCAGGCTGGTCTCCAACTCCTGATCTCAGGTGATCCACTGGGCTCAGCCTCCCAAAGAACTGGGATTACAGGCATGAGCCACCACGCCTGTTCCTGGCCTGCTTTTTAATAAAATTTTACTCCTGCTCTGCAACTTATCTCTATCTGGTTTCTACTTTATGACCCTCGGTTAAATTCTTTCTTCTGAGGAGGCAAGAATTGAGGTTGTTTCAGTTGTGTATGGATTCACCACCAGGAACTCGGATACCTTCCACCGGTAACAGGTCGAGGATGCTAGGTGAAAATGTTATGGAAGCTGCTTGCTTTTTACAAATGTAGTGGTTCTCATGTCCAGCCACAGCCACTGCACCTGTGTGAAAGTCCCCTTAATAAACCTATGTCTCTTTTACTGTCTCCAGATCTCTTCCTCTACCCTTCCACACGGTGCCTTCCCTACTGGAGTAAAGTGGGGTCCAGCAGGGCACCCTCTCCCTGCAATTTTTTTTTTTTTTTTTTTGAGATAGATTCTTGCTCTGTCACCCAGGTTGGACTGCAGTGGTGTGACCTCGGCTCACTGCAACCTTCGCCTCCTGGGTTCAAGTGATTCTTCAGCTTCAGCCTCCTGAGTAGCTGGGATTACAGGCGCCTGCTATCATGCCTGGCTCCTCCTTTTTTTTTTTTTTTTTTTTTTTGTTTTTAGTATTTGAGAGGGGGCTTCGCTGTGTTGGCCAGGCTGGTCTCGAACTACTGGCCTCAGGTGATCCGACCACCTCAGCCCCCCCAAAGTGCTGGGATTACAGGCCTGACCCACTGCACCTGGCCTCTCTCCCTGTATCTTCAAAGCCAAGAAGGAACTTCTGTCCCCTTGGTTAGGGTCAGGGTCCCAGAGATCCAAGGTCAAGGCTACAGCCGCCTCCCAAGGACATGCATCCCTGCAAGAGGCTGCATCCAGCAGTCATGGAAGAGGCTCCGCTGGGGCCTGCTCCAATTCCTGCTGGGGAAAGCAAGTGGAGGTGCCCCTTGAAGAAACAGTAAGGCCACCAATCTCGGGGGTTCTGTCCTGACCTGCGGCCCTGGATCATCCAGCCTCTGCTGGGATGGCAGCAGACGACGCCCTTCTTGGCTGGAGCTGAGGGTGGGGGTCCCGCTTCCCCAAAGGCCTAGCCCTGGATTCCAGCCACAGGTTCTACTGAGCAGCGCCTGGCACTGCCCCGCCCCTCCAGGCCTGGCACTCGCCCTCAACAAACATGGCGCCCAAGGCCTCACGCTCGCCATGCCGCACGCGCCTCAGGCGACAAGCCCGCAGGGCTTCCCCTGCGCCGCTCTCATCCCCTCAGACTGGCTGACAAGAGGAGGAGCGGGAAGTATGACCTGGCTGGTGGCGGTGTCCTGGGCGGCTCTCCGGCGGCTGTTGTGTGGCTGCCCGCAGGCGCTGCTGGGCGGGATGCTGTACATCCGGCAGAGCGCATCGCGGGAGCGCAAGGAGCTGGACGGCCTCTGAAGCTTCCAAGCCGACTTCTCCAACAACCGACTCCCGGGCTTCTAGGAGCAGAGGTAGGCGCGACCGTTGCGAGAGGCCCCCGGAAGCCTGGCGTTGGGAATGGCCTAAGCCCCGGCGCCCTGCGGCCTCCTTCACCTGAGTGCCCGGGAGCTGGGGGCCCGGAGGAGGTTAAAGGTCAATGGGCTTGGGGGCGCGGGGTTGGAGGACTGGGGTACTGGGGTGACTAGGGGGACCCAGGAGGGCCAGGGCGGAGGAGGCGGGAGGAGGAGGAAGCGCTCCTGTCCAGCCGCCTCCGGAGGCGAAGGCTGAGCCCGGGCAGTCTCCTAATATTTATTTTTAATTTTTGAAATGTTTTTGAGACTGTGTTTGGTCCTGCCGCCCAGGTTGCAGCGGAGTGGCACAATCCTAGCTTCTGAGCTCAAGCGATTCTCCCGCCCCAGCCTTGCAACTTAGCTGGGGCCGCCATGCCTAATTAAAAAAAAAAAAAAAAAAAAACAAAGAAAAGAAACTTGGTCGGGCTTGGTGGCTCACACCTGTAATCCCAGCACCTTGGGAGGCTGAGGCGGGCGGATTACCGGAGGCCAGGAGTTCAAGACCACCCCGGCCAACGTGGTGAAACCCCGTCCCTACTAAAAACACAAAAATTAGCCGGGCGTGGCGATGAGCACCTGTAATCCCAGCTACTTGGGAGGCAGAGGCAGGAGAATTGTTTGAACCAGGGAGTCGGAGGTTGCAGTGAGCCGAGATCAAGCCACTGCACTCCAGCCTGTGCGACAGACTGAAACTCTGTCTCAAAACAAAAACCAACTTTTTCGTTTTGTTTTGTTTTTTAAGATACAGGGTCTCACTATGTTATCCAGGCTGATCTCGAACTACTGGCCTCAGGCCATCTTCCCACGTTGGCTTCCCAAAGCACTGATTATAGGCATGAGCCACCAGACACTCGTCAGGCCGGAGCAGCAGGCGCTGCACAGAGCTGGGCCCAGAGATCGCCAGCAGGGGACAGTTTAGACATTCTGATGTCGGCTCTGCTGAGGGGGGAAGGTACGTTGGTTTTCAGGGTTCAGATAGAGGACAGACTGTGACATCAGGCCAAAGACGCCACCCCTGTTGCCCTCCTGACTTGGATGTGGTCAGCAAAGAAGTGGGATCCGGTGAGGTCTGGGCCGCGTTTGCCTGATCTACATCCTCTTTTTCTTTTTCTTTTTTTTTGAGACAGAGTCTCGCCGTGTCACCCAGGCTGGAGTGCGATGGCATGGTCTTGGCTCACTGCAGCCTCCGCCTTCTGGGTTCAAGCGATTCTCCTGCCTCAGCCTCCTGAGTAGCTGGGACTACAGGCGCCGCCACCACCCCCAGCTAATTTTTGTATTTTTAGTAGAGATGGGGTTTCACCATATTGGCCAGGCTGGTCTCGAACTTCTGACCCCAGTGGCCCAGGTGCACAAACTGCCCTGGCAGTTGACCTGTCATCAGCAAGTTATCTGTCTTTTCTGCCAGGAGTCCTCACCATGTGTCAGGGCTTGTGCTAGGCCTGGGGGCACAGCTGTGCAGCACTGTTTTCCCGGATCCCTTTGTGGGCCTAGGAGCTGAGCCCGGCCCTTCTCTTCGCAGTCGGGCCCCACCTTGGACATACCAGTTTCCATTTTCAATGACATCAGCCAGGACTGGCGGCTGCAGCATTTTGTCAGCTGGATGTGGTATGAACGGGAGGTGCCCCTGCTGAAGCGATGGATCCGGGACCTGCACATAAGAGTGGTGCTGAGGATTGGCAGTGCCCACTTCTATGCCATTGTGGTCAGTGTGGCCAGGAGCAGGCAGGGCAGGTGTGTGGGCACAGCTGCTGAACAGCATGGGACCCTCAGATTCCACCCACAGCCTGTCTCCTGGGGTGGGACAGTGGGGGGCCTTACCCTGCCCTGGGGGCTGTGCCCTGTGTAGGTGGATAGGTGGCCTGATCTACCCCACTGGGATGTCCTTTTTCTCGTCTGGCTGGCAGGCCCTTGAGCCCCATGCTGCGGGTTATGTGAGGGCGTGCCCCATAGCAGAGCCCCTCCTCATGCCCCGACCTGCCACCCCCTTCTCATATCTCCCTATGTCTGCAGTGGGTGATTGGTGTCCACAAGCTAGAGCATGAAAGGGGCTACCTCCCCTTCGAGGCTGACAGCAGCAGTCTATTCCGGGTGGGGCCCCTGCCCTCCCGCCTCTGCGTCATCAACTGTCGCCATCAACAACACGCTCGCCCCCCACCCTGCCACCAGGGACCATCCGTACACAACTGACAACTCCAAGTGAGTACCATCCTGCCTCCACTGCGCGCACCCACCTTCCCGCCCCACCCTGTGGTCTTCCTGCCAGGGACAGGGTGGCCTACACAGAGAGGAGGCCCTGATCTGGGGAGGCAAGTGACCTGAGGGCAAAAGACCCATGGCAAGGGCCCAGCGAACCACAGTCCTCCTGCCCTAGGTATCCCAAGGGTTACTTTGTTCAGAACACAGACTTTGACTTCTTCAACTATGCGGGACTACAGCGGTCTGTGCTTCTGTACACGACACCAACTACCTACATCGATGACATCACCATCACCACCGGTGTGGAGTGAGACAGTGATGACGGCTTCTGGTAGGATCCTCCCTCAGCGGGGCCCCGGGTGACTCTGTTTGTTCCCTGTTTGGAAAGCTCTCCCAGGAAAAAGGTTCATCCAGCATCTCTGAACCTTCACAGGTTCCCATCCACCTACGAAGCTAAAATCCAGGCTGTCTGAGCGGGCACGGGCTCCTGAGATCACTCATGTGGTTGATCTCGCTTGGAGAAGAGGGGTCTGGCCTAACATGACATAGCTCAGGGTGGCAGCCCTGTCCCTTCCCCACGGTGCTGCTCTCACTCTAGCTCCCCTTGATATACATCGTGCTCAAGGAACAGGCAGCTTCAGGGGGCCGGGTGCGGTGGCTCACGCCTGTCATCCCAGCTCTTTGTAAGGAGGACTTGGTAGGAGGATCACTTCAGGCCAAGAGTTCAAGACCAGGCTGGGCAACATAGCAAGACCATCAGCACAAAAAATTTAAAAATTCTCCAGTCATGGTGATGTGTGCTGGTAGTCCCAGCTACTGAGGCAGGAGAATCAGTTGAGCCTGGGAGGTCAAGGGTGCAGTGAGCTGTCACCGCGTCACTGCACTCTGGTCTGGGCAACAGAGGGAGACCCTGTCTTTTTTGTTTGTATTTGTTTTTGAGCTGGAGTCTCACTCTGTAGGAGCCCAGACTGGAGGGCACTGGTGCACTCTTGGGCTCACTGCAACCTCCACCTCCCAAGTTCAAGTGATTCTCCTCCCTCAGCCTCCCTAGTAGCAGGGATTACAGGCACCTTCCACCATGTCCAGCCAATTTTTGTGGTTTTTGTTTAGTAGAGACGGGGTTTCACCATGTAGGTCTGGGTTGGTCTTGAACTCCTGACCTCAGATGACTCACCTGCCTTGGCCTCCCAAAGTGCAAGGATTACAGGTGTGAGCTACCGTGCATGACTGGGATACCTTGTTTTTAAGGAAAAAAAAATATTTATTTATTTATTTATTTTTAATATATCTTTTTCCTTTTGTGAGATGAGGCCTTACACTGTCAACCAGGCTGGATGGCAGTGGTACAATGATTGACAGCTGTTGTGGGGCCGCAGTTGTCAGTTTCAAAGAATTTAGGCTGGGTGTGGTGGCTAATGCCTGTCATCCCAGCACTTTGGGAGGCCATGGTGAGCGGATCGCTTGAGCTCAAAGATTAGAGACCAGCCTGGGCAACATAGTGAGACCCTGTTTCAAAAAGAATAAATAATTAAAATAAATAAAAAATTTAAAAAAGAAACACACAGGAAAGGTGATGCAGCATAGAGCAATTTATTGTAAAGGGAAAAATATTTTGCAAGTGAAGTGCAGAATAGCCTGGGCACAGTGGCTGACACCTGTAATCCCAGCACTTTGGGAGGCTGAGGTGGGTGGATGACCTGAGGCCAGGAGTTCTAGACCAGCCTGGCCAATGTGGTGAAACCCCATCTCACACTGTCTCCAAAAAAAAAAAAAAAAAAGACAGTGAGTGGTAGTACACACATGTAATCCCAGCTACTAGGGAAGCTGAGGCAGGAGAATTGTTTGAACCCAGGAGGCAGAGGTTGCAGTGAGCCAAGATTGCCCCACTGCACTCCAGCCTGGGGAGCAGAGGGAGGCTCCCTCTCAAAAAAAAAATAATAATAATTAGCTGGGCGTGGTGGCAGGTGCCTGTAATCCCAGCAACTCGGGAGGCTGAGGCAGGAGAATAGCTTGAACTTGGTGGTCGGAGGTTGCAGTGAGCTGAGATGGAGTCACTGCACTCCAGCAATCCTGAGGAGACTTAAGAACTAAACATAGTATGGTCTGCTGGATGAGATCTTGGAACAGGAAAAGGACATTAGGGGAAATAGTAAAGAAATCTGAATCAAGATGAACCTTAGTTAATAATAACGTATCAGTATTGGTTTACTGGGGCCGGGAATGGTGGCTCACATCCTAGCACTTTGGGAGGCTAAGGCGGGAAGATCTTGAGGTCAGGAGTGTGAGACTAGCCTGGGCAACATAGCGAGACTACATCTCTCTAAATTTTTTTTTTCTTTTAGTTAGTCAGCATGGTGGTATGCACTTACAGTCCCAGCTGCTAGGGGGGCTGAGGAGGGAGAATTGCTTGAGCCCAAGAGTTTGAGGCTGCAGTGAGGTGTGACTGTGCCACTGTGTTCCAGCCTGGTCAACAGGGCAAGACCCCTTATCTCCAAAACTTTTTTCATTACAAAAAAATTTTTTTTTTAGATGGGATTTCGCTCTTGTTGCCCAGGCTGGAGTGCAATGGCGAGATCTCGGCTCACTGCAACCTCTGCCTCCCAGGTTCAAGCAATTCTTCCACCTCAGCCTCCCAAGTAGCTGGGATTACAGGCATGCGCCACCACGCGCGGCTGATTTTTGTATTTTTAGTAGAGACGGGGTTTCACCATGTTGGCCAGACTGGTCTTGAACTCCTGACTTCAAGCAGTTCACCTGCCTTAGCCTCCCAAAGTGCTGGGACTACGGTTGTGAGCCACTGCAGCCGGACTATTTTTTAAATGCTTTTTAGAACCAAAGTCTTGTTATGCTGCTCAGGCTAGATTCTAACTCCTGTGCTCAAGCAATTCTCCTGCCTCAACCTCCTGAGCAGCTGAGACTACAGCTTGTGGCACCACAAGCCAAAAAGTTTGTTTCTTTTTTTAGAAAAGAGAGGGCTTAGGACTTCCTGGAACACAGACTTCAAATAGCAGCCGAGTCCACAATTGTGCTCCCTTCCCTCTGGATCTTTCTTCCTGAGTGCCTGTGAAAAGCAAGCTTTGGCCCTGCCTGGGTGGTGATTGTCGTTCCTGACGGCCAGTCCTGCGAGCTCTGGGCTTGCTTAGCCAACCCTACAAATGCAGAAGCCAAGCTTTTACGAATATATCTATCTATCTAGATGTATGTCTGTATATAGCTTTTTTGTTTGTTTGTTTGTTTGTTTGTTAGAGATGGAGTCTAGCTTTGTCACCCAGGCTGGAGTGCAGTGGCGTGATCTCGGCTCACTGCAACTGCTGCTTCCCGGGTTCAAGCAATTCTCCTGCCTCAGCCTCCCGATTTGCTGGAACTACAGGTATGCACCACCATGCCTGGCTAATTTTTGTATTTTTATTAGAGACAGAGTTTCATCATGTTGGCCAGGCTGGTCTCAAACTCCTGACCTCAGGTGATCTGCCTGCCTCGGCCTCCCAAAGTGCTGGGATTACAGGTGTGAGCCACTGTGCCTGGCTAGAAGCCATCCGTTTCTATATCTATGCAGATGTGTGTCACTATATGTTTATGTATATCTGAATGTGTGTATCTTTCCTACTGGTTCTGCTTCTCTGGTTTGAACCCTAACACAACTAGTTTTTTTTGTTTTGTTTTGTTTTTTTTTGAGCTGGCATCTTGCTCTGTCACCCAGGCTGGAGTGCAGCAGTTTGATCTCTGTTCATTGCAACCTCCACCTCCTGGGCACAATAGTATTTTATAATCTGTTAGGAATTCAAATGTTTTTCAAAAGATCAAACTACATATTTAAATACATTTCAAATACAAACTTTGAAAATCATACTATGAAACATTAAGTAAGATTCTACATTATTAGGCCAGGGACGGTGGTTTCGGCCTCTAATCCCAGCACTTTGGGAAGCCAAGGCGGGCAGATTGCTTGAGCTCAGGAATTTGACACCCCCCGGGCAACATAGCAAGACCCTGTCTCCACAAAAATAGAAAAATTAGCTGGACATGGTGGTGCATGGCTGTGGTCCCAGCTGTTTGGGAGGCTGAGGTGGGAGGATCACATGAGCCCAGGAATTTGAGGCTGCATGGAAGCATGATTGAGCCATTGCACTCCATCCTGGGTGACAGAGTGAGACCCTGTCCCACCCCCCAAAAAAAGTTAATATCATTATATAATTGTACTCTAAATTATTAGCAAAATGAAAGAAAATTAAGTATTATTTAAAAATAGGCAAGGTACAGTGGCTCATGCCTATAATCCCAGCACTCTGGGAGGGCAAAGCAGGTGGATTACTTGAGGTCAGGAGTTCGATACCAGCCTGGCCAACATGGTGGAATCCCATTTCTACTAAAATTGCAAAAGTTTGCCTGGTGTGGTGGCACCTGCCTGTAATCCCAGCTACTCAGAAGGCTGAGGCTGGAGAATCGCTTGAACCCGGGAGGTGAATATTGCAGTGAGCTGAGATGGAGCCACTGCACTCCATCCAGGGTGAAGGAGCAAGACTCTGTCTCAAAAATAAATAAATAAATAAATAGCTAAACAGTTGGTTCAAATGGACATAAAGATGGAAATAACAGACACTAGGAACTCCACATGTGGGGAGGGAAGGAGGGGAAAGGGTTGAAAAACTAGTCATTGGGTACTATGGTCAGTGTTTGGGTGATGAGTTCAATAGAAGCCCAAGCCTTAGCATTTTGCAGTGTACTCATGGAACACACCTGCACATGTGCCCCATGAATCTAAAGTTTAATACAATAAAAATAATGAACTTAGTGCAATAGACAATTACAGAAGTTTAATCATAAAACACTTAAAATAGCACTTTTTTTTTTTTTTTTTTTTGAGGCAGTCTCATTCTGTCACCCAGGCTGGAGTGCAGTGGTGAGATCTCAGTTCACTGCAACCTCCATCTCCTGAACTCAAGCAATTCTCGTGCCTCAGCCTCCCCAGTAACTGGGATTACAGGTGCACACCCTCTGCCTCCTGGGTTTAAGCGATTCTCTTGCCTCATCCTCCCGAGTAGCTGGGATTAGAGGCACCGGCCACCATGCCCGGCTAATTTTTGTATGTTTAGTGGAGACGGGGTTTCATGATGTTGGCCAGGCTGGTCTTGAACTCCTGACCTCAGGTGATCCACCAGCCTCGGCCTTCCAAAGTGCTGGGATTACAAGCATTAGTCACCGTGCCTGGCCAAGTATTTTTCTTTAAGTCCTTCATCTTTAAATAATCCCATTTCATTTTGATAACTTTGAGATTATCTGACAGAATTCTTGGGGGAAAAGTTAGGACTGTAATCTTTTTATTGACAGCAAGCAGTGTGTTTTGCTCCAAAAAAATCGTTCTGCTTTCTTTTGATCTTTTGGTATCATCATGTATGAATGGGGATTTTTTTTTTTTTTTTTTTTTTTGAGACAGGGTCTCACTCTGTTGCCCAGGCTGGAGTGCAGTGACGTGATCGTGGCTCACTGCAACCTCCACCTCCTGGGTTCAAGTGATCCTCATGGCTCAGCTTCCTGAGTAGCTGGGATTACAGGTGCACACCAAAACACCAAGCAAATTTTTGTATTTTTAGTAGAGATGGGGTTTCAGCATGTTTGCTGGGCTGGTTTCAAACTCCTGACCGCAAGTGATCTGCCTGTCTTGGCCTCCCAAAGTGTTGGGATTATAGGTGTGAACCATCGCGCCCAACCTAGATGGAGATTTTAATCGTTTCCCCAAATCAGTTTCAATTCTGTCATGCTCATTATCTGCTTCTTCAAAAAGTCTTTGAACCAGAGTTAAGAATATATTATTGCATCAGTAGCCGGGCGCGGTGGCTCACGTATGTAATCCCAGCACTTTGCAAGGCCAAGGCAGGTGGATCACCTGTCAGGAGTTCGAAACCAGCCCGGCCAACATGGCGAAAATCCGTCTCTACTAAAAATACAAAAGTTAGCTGGACGTGGTGGCAGATGCCTGTCATCCCAGCCACTCGGAAGCTGAGGCACAAGAATCGCTTGAACCCAGGAGACAGAGGTTGCAGTGAGCCAAGACTGTGCCACTGCACTCCTGCCTGGGCGACAGAGGGAGACTCCACTCCATCTTATGTGAACTAGAGGATTGGGGGAATTGCTGAGAAAAAAGGACAAATCTCAAAGAAACAGAGACATGACAAGAGAAGAGAGTGGTGTTTGAGTCTCTGACTCCATATTGTTCTTAAGGCCAATGAGGTCTGAGAGAGAGTCAGAACTATCTTGTTTATGAATTCCATGAGATAGTCCATAAATCTGTCTTTAGGCTTAAGCTAGTTTGAGTTGGGTTTCTGTCACTTGCAACAAGAGTCCTGACTACTGCAGTTGAGTTTAGTTAAAAGGTATAGCCTCAATAGGTGAGCTAGCTCTGGCTTTGAAAGTCTTCCAGTTTGAATTACACTCCATTCCCTCTGGTGCCCCTAGAAAGAGCCTTCTCTAACACAGACCAGCAGCTGGCAGACATGCTTTAGTTTTTTTTCTTTGCAGGAATTTTGCTGCCTTGATTTGGGACAGATTATCAGCCTCGCCAGCATGTTGTTTTGACTTTGAAAAAATGCCCATTGTGACCAACGTGAGATGATATCTCATTGTGTTTGGGAGTTGCATTGCGCTGAGGTTGCACATTTTTTCATTTGGTTGATCACTTGAACGTCATCTTTTTTTTTTTTAATTTTTATTTTTTGAGACAGTGTCTCACTCTGTTGCCCAGACTGGAGTGCAGTGGTGCAATCTTGGCTCACTGCAGCCTGCACTTCTTGGGTTCAAGCAATACTCCTGCCTCAGCCTCTGAAAGTGCTGGGATTGCAGGCATGAGCCACCATGCTCAGCCTGTTCCCTTACATTTCTTTACAAAAATTTACCCTGTGGTAAAGGTGTACTACCAGAGGGTAGAATGAGACACTTTGGTCCATGCATACATTGTGTAATGATGAAATCAGGGTATTTAGCATCTGTCTTTCCTCATAGAGTGAGGTGAAGACATTCAGAATCCTCTTTTCTAGCTTTCTTGAAAAGTACACTCTGATAATGTTAGACCTAGTCACCCTGCTGCTGTGGAAAAGAACTACAGGTTTCATTCCTCTCATGGGAATATGTAACTTTATACCTGTTTCCAATCTCTGACCATGCCCCACCTTTGAACCCCAACCCATTTAGAAAGTTATGCTTACTAGTTCTAGGAAATAAAGTTTTGTAGATTCCTCCTGAGTGAGACAATGCGATGTTTATCTTTCTCTGCATAGTTTATTTCTTTTTTCTTTTTTCCTTTTTTTTTTTTTTTTGATACAGTGTCTGGCTATGGTTGCTGGAGTGTAGGGGTGCGATCTCAGCTCACTCCCACCTCAGCTTCCCGAGTAGCTGGGACTTTTGAGAAATATCTCTTCAGGTTCATTGCCCAACTTTGGCCAGGTGACTTGGCCTTGCATGTTTTGCTTCTTAGTAGCATTAGTTTCTCGTGCATACCATGTAACAACCTCTTTCAGATAAAGGATTCCTCATCATGCCCTCCCTATATGAAGAATGCCTTCTCATTGTTGATTGGTTCATTGCTCCCTTTACCATGCCGTAGTTCTCGAGTTTTCTTTTTCACGTGTTGAGTTTTCCTTTTGTTAGCAGCGATTTTGGGTCAGGCCAGAAAGAAAAATCACAATTTTGATACATTTCATTGATTTTGAATGTATTTTCCATGTATTTCCTGTTTTTTCTTTTTGCAACCTATGAGCATAGATGAAGTTGCCCTGAGCTTCCACTCACTCTGTGTTTTCCTGTAGAAGTTTTATGCTTTTGGGTCTTGTGTTTAGGTTTTCATTTATTTCAAGTTGGTATTTGTGTATTGTGTAACATAAGGGTCCTATTTCATTCTTTTTCATGTGGATATCCAGTATTTTCAGATTCATTAATTGAACAGACCTCCCACTCCTCATTTTGTCTTCCAGGCATTCTCTTGAAAAAACAGCGTGTTGACTCCATACAGATGTACGTTTAGGTTCTGTTATGTCTGCATGGTTTCATTGTTAGGCCACTGCCATAGTCTTTGGATGAGTAGATCTTTTCCATGTAATTTGAAATTGAACAGTGTGAGACCTCCAAACAAGTTTATATTTCCTAGGATTGCTTTGCATATTCAGAGTCTATGGTAGTTCTATGTGAATTTTTAGCTGTGTATAGTTACATTTCATGACAAGTTTGGTTCATACTGCATGTCCAGAATTAGGGGTGCAATGGGGACATTACAGCACTTGTGTACCTTGCATAAGGATTAAGGATAAGCTCAAGGAGGTTTCCATGTTTTGTGTGTGGGTTTCCAGTTTTCTCAAAGTCATTTACAGAACAGACTAGCTGTTTCCCATTTTGTTTGGGTTTTTTGTTTGTTTGTTTGTTTGTTTTGATACAGAGTGTTGCTTTTTTGCCCAGGCTAGAGTGAAGTGGTGTGATCTTTGCTCACTGCAACCTCTGCCTCCCAGATCCAAGCGATTCTCCTGCCTCAGCCCCCAAGTAGCTGGGATTACAGTCACATGCCACCATGCTGGCTAATTTTTCTATTTTTATTATCACCATGTTAGGCTGATCCCAAACTCCTGACATCAAGTGGTTCGCCAGCCGTTGCCTCCCAAAATGTTGGGATTACAGACGTGAGCCACCGCGCCTGGCCTTTTGAGAAATCTGTTGACTGTAAGTACATTCAGATTTGTCTGTTGGCTACCCAATACTGTCCAATGATAAATGTTTCTATTTTTATGCCAGTTCCTTGCTGCCTCGGTAAGTATAGCTTTTTGATGTAATTTGACATCGCGGAGCGTGAGGCAATCAAGTGATTTTCTCTTTCTGGGAAGTGCTTTGGATTTTCAGGGTCTTCCCTGGTTCTCTGTGAATTTTACCATTGTCCATTTATAGTTTTAAAATTGAGTTTGTCATACATGTCCAAAATTAGGGGGTACAGTGGGATTTTGTTTACTTGCATACTTTGAGGAATGATGAAGTCAGGGTGTTTTGCATATCTATTCCCATGTCTAGTTTTTATTTGTTTGTTGTGTGAACCTTCAGTGTTCCTCTCCTTTCTACCTCTATTGAAAGAGATCCTACCGTATTGTTACTTGTAGTCACCCTCCTGTGGAGTAGATCACCAGCATTAATTCCTCCCCTGGAAGTGCAACTTGGTACCCATTACCAATGCCAGCCCATGCCCTCTCCTCCCCCCAGCATGTGATAACCACTATTGTACTTTCACTTTCCGTTAGATAATTCTTTTTTAGTCTCCTCATGGGTCAGATGATGCAGTGTTTTTGTTTCCCTGCCTGGCTGATTCCACTGAGTGTAATGTCTTCCAGGTTTATCCGTGTTGCCACAAAAGACATTATGTCATCAATCTTTGTTGATGGGGCGTATTTCGTTGTGTCCAGATACTGAAGTTCCTTCATCCCTTCATCAGTTGATGGATAGGTAGGTTGATTGCATACCTTAGCTATTGTGTATAGTGCTTCGGTCAACCTGGGAAGGCAGCTATGGCTTTCATGCAGTGATTTCACTGTCCCTAAGTATATACCCACTGCTGGAATTGCCAGATTAAATGGTAGTTTCCTTTTTGATTGTTTGGGAAGCTCCAAGAGGTTTTCATAGTGTCTGTAATAACAGTGATTTCTCCCAACAGTGTGAGAGTAGCTGTGTGTGCAACTTCCTCCAGGGAATTTGTTTGAAATAATTGGTTTCTTTTATTTGTTCAAATTAGGGTGAGTGTGTATCTGAGTGTGGTTTTCATTTACAGTTTAGAGATGATTAGTAATGTTGAGAATCGCCCTTTTCACATGTTAGTGAATTGTGCATTGTCTTTTTAGTGATGTCTGTTCAGGATTGTGTCCCAGTTTTGGTTGGGTTAGTTGGTTTTGTGTGTTTTGCTCCTCAGTGGTGTGGTAGTTTCAGATGCATGATTCCTTATAATGTCCTTTCTATCTGAAGAATGCCTTCGGAGTGTTGGTTGGTGCATTGCTTTCTTTAATGTGCAGAACTTCTTCAGGATTTTTTGTGTTTTTGTTTCTTGATTATTTTAGTTGTGATTTTTTTATTTTTGTTTTTCCTTTTTTTTTTTTTTTTGAGACGGAGTCTTGCTGTGTTGCCCAGGCTAGAGTGTGGTGTCATGATCTTGGCTCACTGCAACCTCCGCTTCCCGGGTTCGATTGATTCTCTTGCCTCAGCCTCCCAAGTAGCTGGGACTACAGGTGTGCGCCACCACTCCTGGCTAATTTTTGTATTTTTAGTAGAGACAGGGTTTCACCATGTTGGCCAGTCTGGTCTCGAATTCCTGACCTCAGGTGATCCACCTGCCTCGGCCTCCCAATGTCCTGGATTTACAGATGTGAGCCAGCATGACTGGCTAGCAGTGATTGTTTTTGTAAGGTAAAGTCAATAACAAAAACTAGAAAATTTGACTTATGTTGTTGGAAGTGGTTTTTTTTCTGTTTTTCTTTTTTTTTTTTTCCTATTGTTTGCTTTTACATCCTGTGAGCTTAGATTCGGGTTTTCCTAAACTTAAGCTCACTCTGTGTTTTCCTGTAGCAGTTTTATGCTTTTAGGTCTTGTGTTTAGGGTTTAATGTATTTTGAGTTTATATTTGTGTATTGTATAACATCAAGGTCTTATGTCTTGTTTCATTCTTTTGTATGTGGCTATCCAGTCGTTTCAGACTGCTCAGTTGAACAGACTACTGACTCCTCATCTCATCTTTTTTCCGCTTTGGGATGTAGTCCCACTCATGCTGTCGTCCACACTGGAGTGCAGTGGCGAGATCTCAGCTCTCTGCAACATCTGCCTCCTTGCTTCGAGCGATTCTCCTGCCTCATCTTCCCAAGTGGCTGGGATTGCTGGTGTGCGCCACCACACCTGACTCAGTCTCTGAAAGCACTAGGAGTACAGGTGCCATAGCACCCAGCCTCATTGCATCTTCTAGGCATTCTTTAAAAAAAATGTGTTGACTGCATACAGGTGTGCGTTTAGGTTCTCTTATGTCCCTAGGTTCATGGATTCATTTTTTTGCCAGTACTGTAGTCTTTGGATGAGTGGAGGTTTTTTGTTTTTGTTTTTGTTTTTGTTTTTTTGTTTTTTTGAGACGGAGTCTTACTCTGCCGCCCAGGCTGGAGTGCAGTGGCCGGATCTCAGCTCACTGCAAGCTCCGCCTCCTGGGTTTACGCCGTTCTCCTGCCTCAGCCTCCCGAGTAGCTGGGACTACAGGCGCCCACCACCTCGCCCGGCTAGTTTTTTGTATTTTTTAGTAGAGACGGGGTTTCACTGTGTTAGCCAGGATGGTCTTGATCTCCTGACCTCGTGATCCACCCGTCTCGGCCTCCCAAAGTGCTGGGATTACAGGCTTGAGCCACCGCGCCCGGCCCAAGTGGAGGTTTTACATGTATTTTGAAATTGGGGAGTGTGCGGCCTCCCATTGAGTTTGTATTCCCTGGGATTGCTTTCCATATTCAGGTTCTTTGGGTCTTTAGTGGTTCCATGTGAATTTTTAGCCGCGTATTGTTAACATTTCATAAAACATTTGTTTTATACTTCATGTCCAGAATTAGGGGTGCATTGGGACATTGTGATACTTGTTTGTATACCTTGAGTATGGATAAAATCAGGGAGTTTCCCATGCTTGTGAACACGTGTAGGTTTGATATCTTCGATGTGTGAACATTCAAAATCCTCCTTAGTAGCTATTTTGAAAACAGCACGACCATATTGTTAAGTATCATCACCCTGCTTTGGAGTGGAATACCAGAATGTATTCCTCTCCTGTAACTCTCTGTGTACCTATTGCCAGTCCTTGATGTCCTCTCCTCCCCCTAGCCTGTGGTGACCACTGCTGTATTTTCACCTTCAGTGAGTTAAATTTTTCAGCTCCCACATGAGTGAGAACATGCAGGCTTGGTCTTTGTCTGCCTTTCTGATTTGATTGAACAGAATATCTCCGGGTTCAGCCATATTGCTGGAAATGGTAGGATTCCATGAACTTTGATGGTGCAAAAGTATTCCATTGTGTCTGTATACTAGAGATTCTTCATCCCTTCATCTGTGTATAGACAGGTCGGCTGATTTCTTATCTTGGCTTTTGGGCATAGGGCTGAATTCCACCTGGGATGACAGATAATCTCTTCCATGTCCTGATCGTGCACTCTGTGTATATAGCTAGGAATAGAATTGCTGGAGACAATGGTAGTTGTAGTTTTACAATTTCAAGGAACATCTAAGTGGTTTCTTCTAGTGTGCATACTAGTTTACCATTTCCCACCAAATGTGGAGACAAGTTCCTCCTCTGGAAATCCACACCTTGATTGTTTTGTGTTTTAATATGTTTCAATTTTTTTTTTATGGCATCCATTGAATGTAGAGTGAGATGAAATCTTGAGTGTGTTTTTGATTTTTGTGTGTGTATGATAAGTGATACTTGCTAGGTTATTGTGAATTTGTTTTTAATTTGTTATGTAGCCCTGGGCGGAGGACCTGAAGACATGAGGTTGATGCACAGGTCAAAGAGAAGATTCTCACCATCGCTGATTCACACAAAAGTGTGAGAAAACCACACTCGGATTTCATCTCACTCCAGTTAAAATGAATGCTACCAACATTTGATGGCAGTTTTATTTCTATAGAGTATACACACACCCCCAACCCAAGGGTGCAAGGGACATTTTGACATATGTTTGTGTAGCATCATGATCAAATCATCGTATCTGGCATCTGTGTGACCTTCCATCATTATTATTTCTCTGTGGAGAGGATATTCAGAACCATATTTTCCAGCTGATTTTGAAAAAATTTACTAGATTCTGTTGACCCTAATCACCTAGTCACCCTGTTGTGCAATAGAACACCAGAATGGATTCCTTGTATCTGAGCATCACTCTGTACCTGTTACCAATCCCTGCCCAGGCTCCCTGCTCTCCCCAGCCTCCAGTAACCCCTATTGGAAGTTGTGCTTCAAGGAGACAAGGTTTTTTGGATTCCACATGCCTGATGTCATGCAGCGTGGGTCTCTCCCTAGCAGACTCGTTTCATTTCACCTAATTGTCTTCCAGGTTTCTCCAAGTGGTTGCAGATGACATGATTTCCTGAAGTATTAGAGCTGATGTGTGTTTCATTGTGTATATATACTGTGGTTCTTTTATCCCTTCATGTGTGGATAGACAGGTAGGTTGATTCCACATCTCGGCTATTGTGACTAGTGCTTCAGGACACATGAAAAGGCAGATAACACAGGGTTTTTGTTTTCTCTAAACATGTACCCAGTGGTGGGATTGTCAGCTGGAGTGGCAGTTGTACTTTTTTTTTTAAAGACGGAGTCTTGCTCTTGTCTCCCAGGCTGGAGTGCAGTGGGGCAATTTCGGCTCAATGCAAACTTCACCTCCTGCATTCAAGTGATTCTCCCACCTCAGCCTCCCAAGTGGCTGAGAATACAGGCACCTGCCACCACGCCTAGCTAATTTTTGTATTTTTAGTAGAGATGGGATTTCACCATGTTAATGAGGCTGGTCTCGAACTCCTGACCTCAGGTGATCCACCTGTCTCAGCCTCCCAAAGTGCTGAGATTACAGGTGTGAGCCACTGCACCCGGCCTACCTTTTACTTTTTTAAGGAACTTCCAAAATTTTTTTGTAGTTTATATAGTAATTTTCATTCCATGAAGAGTGTAGAGGATTTTTTTTTTTTTCTTGCAAGTCAGCACTGAGCATTGCCTTCAACAATTTTGATTTTTGTGTTTTGTAATACTCGTTCTAGGTGGAGTTAGATGGTAACCGAGTATGGTTTTTTTTTTTTTTTTTTTTTTTTTTTTTGAGACGGAGTCTCGCTCTGTCGCCCAGGCTGGAGTGCAGTGGCTGGATCTCAGCTCATTGCAAGCTCCGCCTCCCGGGTTTACGCCATTCTCCTGCCTCAGCCTCCCGTGTAGCTGGGACTACAGGCGCCCGCTACCTCGCCCGGCTAGTTTTTTGTATTTTTTAGTAGAGACGGGGTTTCACTGTGTTAGCCAGGATGGTCTTGATCTCCTGACCTCGTGATCCACCCGTCTCGGCCTCCCAAAGTGCTGGGATTACAGGCTTGAGCCACCGCGCCCGGCCCCGAGTATGGTTTTGATTCACATTTTTGTGAGGATTAGTGATATTGAGGAACTGTCACCTGTGGGTCAGTTTCCTGCTTTCTTTTCACTCAGGTCTATTTAGATCCTTTTACCTTGGATATTTTTTGTTGTTTTTGTTGTTTTTCACTTAGTCATATCAGTTTATTGTACGTGTTAGATAACAACCTCTTTCAGGGTTAGGATTTTTTATAGTTTCTCCCAGTCTTTAGCATGCTTTTTTAAATTTGTTTCATTGTTTTCTTTTCCCTGTAGAAGTTGCAAAATGTCCCTAGTCTTATATGGTTATAGTTTTGTATGTGAGCAGTGATTTTTGTGTTCAACACCCGACTTCCACTAAACACAAAAACATGTGTGCATGTGCGTGCACATGCATGCACACATGCACACACACACAGAACCAAGCCTTGCGTTGTCTCTGGGTGTAGTTTCCCTACTTTTTTTTTTTCAGTGTTATGATGCTTTTTTACCTTTTGCAGCCTGTTTGCATAGATACTGGGTTTCCTAAAATATATACCCACTCTATATTTTCTTATAGGACCTTTACAAATTCAAGATTGAGTTTAGGTCTTTAATTCATTTTGTGTTGATTTTGTGTATTGTGCATTGTAAGGGTTCTATTTCAGTGTTTTTCCTGTGGAGATTCAGTTTTCTCAAAATCAGTAATTGAACCAGACTCTCCCTTTCCCATTGTGTCTTTTTGGGGTTTTGAAAAATGTGTTCCCTACATATCATGTTGAATATAGTATTTGGCTGCCTCTTTCTGTCACTTAGGTCCTCGTTCTGTGTTTGTGACAGTCATGGATTGTTTGGATAAGTAGATTGTTTTTTCATTTATTGTTTTCTTTGGTTCTAACCTTGGATTTTTTTTAATGCATTCTACTCTTATTATTATAGTTTAAAGGGTACATATGCAAGTTAGTTACATCTGTTGATTGCATCACGCTGAGACTTGGGGTCCCATTAACCCCGTAACCCAGGCAGTGAGCAGAGGGCCCACAGGTTGGGTCTTCAGCACACGCTCCCTCTCTCCTGTTTTTTTATTGTTGTGGTGGTCATTCCAGGTGTCTGTTGTTCTCTTCTTTATGTTTGAGTCCATTCAAAGTTTAGCTCCCGCTTACAAGTGAGAACATGTGGCGTTTGGTTTTCTATTTGGGCCTTAGTTCACTTATAACAATGGCCTGCAGTTTCCACCTTCTGGGCTCAGGTGATCCTCCCACCTCAGCCTCCAGATTAGATAGGACTACAGGTGCCCGCCACCACATCCAGCTAATTTTTGTATTATTGTAGAGATGGGATTTCATCATTTTGCTCAGGCTGGTCTTGAATTCTGAACTGAAGCGATCCACCTGCCTCGGCCTCCCAAAGTGCTAGAATTACAGGTGTGAGTCACTGTGCCGGTCTCTCATCCACTGTTGATGGCTAGGTTGATTCCATGTCTTTGACATTGTGAATAACACTGCCATGAACATACAAGTGTCTGTGTCTTTTGGATAGAAGGGTTGATTTTCCTTTGGGTGGATGCACAGGAGAGGGCTTTCTGGGTGAGATGGTAGTTCTGTTTTCAGCTCTTTGAGAAATCCCTGATCTGCTTTCAATGGTGTCTGTACTAGTTTTCATTCCCCCCAAGGCATACCAGTGTTTCCTTTCCTTGGCTGCCTCACCAGCGTGTGTTCTTTGTCTGTGTGGTCCTCACCATTGTGACCTGCGTGGGATGGCATCTCGTCGTGCTTTTGATTGGCAGCTCTCTGTTAATGAGTGAGCTTGAGCATGTTTTCCTATTTGTTAGTTGCTTGTACATCGACTTTTGAGAAGTGTGTGTTCACATCCCTGGCCTGTATATTAATGGGATATTCTTTTTCTGTTTATTCCTCTGGTTGACTTGTTGAAGGGCCTTGTAGATTCTGCATATCAGACGTTGGTCAGAGGCACAGTTTGGGAACATGTTCTCCCATTCTGTACGCTGTCTGTTTACTCTGTTGTAGTCTCTCTTGCTGTGCAGCAGCTCTTTCAGGTATTAGGTCTGACTTGCCAATTTTTGTTTTTGTTGCCGTTGCTCTTCAGGACTTAGCCATCTAAATGCTTTGCCAAAGCCTATGTGGAGAAGGGTATTTCACGAGTTTTCTGGTAAGATTTTAATAGTTTGAGTTTTTACATTGAAATCTTCCATTCATCTTGAGTTCCTCTTTGTGTGTGTTGGGAGTTAGGGGCCTAGTGTTATTCTGCACATGGCTAGCCGCTTATTTCAGCATCAGTGATTGAACAGGGTGTCCTTTTCCCTTTGCTTATTTTTGTGGATTCTATGATAGATCAGATGGTTTTCAGTGTGTGGTTTAACTTCTTGGTCCTCTCTTGTGTTCCACTGCTCTGTGTGGAAGTGGGTCCGTGGCTTTTCCATGAAATTTAAAATCTGACGTAGTCTGGATGTCTCAGGATTGCTGAGGATGAAACTCAGGGCACTTCATGGTCTCATATGAATATTAGCAGCGCCTGTTTCTATTTCTTTCAACAAATGTATTGCATAGTAAAGGATCAATACAACGAGAGGGTAGAGTGTGGCATTATGGCCCATGCGTACCTTGTGGAACAATGAAATCAGGGTACTTAGTGATTCTGTTACCTTTTCCCATTGTTTATTCCTTTATGCTGAGAACCTTCAGTATTCTATCAAGCTGCCTTGAAAGTGATGTGCCGATACTGTCAACCCTGGTCACCCTGCAGTGCAATAGAACAACAGAATTTTCTTCCTCTCATTTGTGTGTAACTTTGTACCCATTTACAATCCCTGCCCATTACCCCTGTTTTCCCCCAATCTCTGGAAACCAATATTGTGCTCGCCAGGTCTTTGAGATAGAGTTTCTCAGATTCTGCATGTGTGAGATGACTCAGGTTTGTTTCTCTCCCCCTTTGCTCATTTAATTTACCATCATGCCCTCCAGGTGCAACCGTGTGGTTCCCCACGATATGATGTCATTGTGGTTTTCTGTGTGAAGAGTATCCCGGTGTGTACATGTGGAGCAGCTTCTTTCTTCCTTCGTCTGTGGATAAGCAGGTAGGTTGATGCTTACACTGGCTCTTGGGAACAGTGCTGAAATCCACATGGGTGGGTAGGTCTGTCTTTGGTGTCCTGATTTCAATGGCTTTGAGTGTATTTCCAGTAGTAGAATTGCTGGTTGAAATGGTAATTGGAGTCTTTTAAGGCTTGGAGGAATCTCCAAGTGGTTTCTGTAGCGTGTGCACTAGTTTACCTTCTCACGAACTGTGCAGAAGACTGTCTCTCTCTGTCTCTCTCTCTCTGGAAACACACCAGCATTTGCCTTTCTTTCAATGATTTTGTCTTTTGTTGTAACACTCATTCCAATTAGAATGAGATGGTATCTAAGTGTGGTTTTGATTTACATTTTGCTGTGGTTAGAGATGTTTGCCAGGTTATCGTGAACTTGTTTCTATTTGATGTGTAAGACTGGGCAAAGGACCTGAAGACCTGAGAAGGATGCACAGGTAAAATATTCTGAATCAACATTACTGATCCTCACGAGAAGTCAATCAAAACCACACTCAGATATCATCTTACTCCGGTGAGAATGAATGTTACCAAAATGGGACAGAGTTTCATTGCCGTAGAGTATGCCTGTATAACCAGTGAGTGCAAGGGACAATTTGATCTGTGTAAACGTAGCATCATTATGAAGTTGCAGTGTCTGGCACCTCTGTGAGCTTGAGTTATGATTTCTCTGTGGAGAGAATATTCACAACTGACCTCTGAAGCTATTTTGAAAATTGTGGTTTTCTGTTCTTGCCTTTTGTTCGTAATGGCCTGCAGCTCTGTCCAGGTTTCTGGTAAGGGCATGGATTTGTTTTTTATGGCTGTGTAGTGTTCCGTGGTGTGTATGTACCACATTTCCTTTCTCTGATCCACTGCTGATGGGCACCAAGGCTGATTCCGTGTCTTTACCATTGTGAGTAGTACTGCCATGAACATAGGAGTGCGTGCATGTTTTGGATGGAAGGATTTTCCTTTGGGTAGATCCTCAGGAGTGGGGTTGCAGCGTTGGGTGGTAGTTCTCTTTTAGGTTCTTTGAGAAATGTCCACACTGCTCTCCAGGGGGTCTGAACTAGTTTGCATTTCCCCCAACAGTGGACCTGCATTTCTTTGCTCATCTGCCCCACCAGCCTCTGTTGTTGTGGACTGTGTGTCATAATTGCCATTCTGACCAGTGTGAGATGGTATCTCAGTATGTTTCTGATTTGCATTTCTCTGATGATCAGTGAGATCGAACATGTTTTCATGCTCATTGGTTACTGGTACACCTTCTTTTAAGTGTGTGTTCATGTCCCATGCCCATTTATAAGTTGGGTTTTTTTTCTGATTTTATTTGTTTAAGGTCTTTACGATAAATCCTGGATATTAGACGTTTTTCAGATGCGTAGTTGGGGAGTATGTTCCCTCATTCTATAGGCTGTGTGCTGACTCTGTGGTTGTTTCTTGTTCTGTGCAGCAGCTCTTTTGAGTATTAGGTCCCACTTATCAGTAATTGTTTTTGTTGCCATTGCTTTTGGGGACTTGACATATAAATGCTTTGCCAAAGCCTCTGTTGAGAAGGGTATTTGCTAGATTCTCGTGCAGGACTTTTTCATTTCAGGTCTTGCATTTTTATGTATTTATGTATTTATTTAGAGACTGAGTCTCACTCTGTTGTACAGGCTGGAATGCAATGGAGCGATCTTGGCTCACTGCACCCTCCAGCTTCTGGGTTCAAGTGATTCTCTTGCCTCAATCTCCTGAGTAGCTGAGAGTACAGGCACGCGCCACCACGCCCAGCTAACTTTTGTTTTTTTATTAGAGGCAGGGTTTCACTATGTCGACCAGGCTGGTCTTGAACTCCTGACTTCAAGTCATCTACCCACTTTGGCTCCCAAAGTGCATGGATTCCAGGAATGAGCCACTGCGCCCACCCTGGATTTCGCATTTCAAACTTTGATTCATTTTGAGTTATTTTCTGTACATGGTGAGACACAGGGGCCCAGTGTTATTTATTCTACATCTAGCTAGCCACTTATCCCAGCACCACTTACTGATAGGGAGTCCTTTCTCCATCACTTATTTTTGTTGATTTTTTTCAAGTGTCAGATGGTTTCAGATGTGCAGGTTTATATCTGGGTCTTCTAATGTGTTCCACGGTTCTGTGGAACCACGTCCCCAGCTTTTGAGTGAAAATGCCAAGCCATTACATTGTCTATGGGTGTTTCCTTGTTTTAAAGTTTTTTTAATGCCTTTAGCAGCCTACATGCATGGATTTCTTTTCTAAAATACATGCACACCCTATGTTTTCTTGTAGGAGTTGTGTGGTTTCAGAATTGAGTTTTAGGTCTTTAATGTATTTTGCATTGATTTTTGTGTTGCATGACACAAGGGTCCTATTTCAGTGTTTTCTATGTGAATATTCAGTTTGCTCAAAATCATCTATTGAACAGTCTCTCTTTTGCCCATTGTGTGTTTTTGGTGTTCTTTTGAAACACGTGTTCAATATATGTAAATTGGGGTTGAGTATTTGGTTTACTCATTCTGTCCACTTTCTTAGTTTATGCCAAATAAAAGATTGTTTTGATAATTGTAGAAGTTTGTGTTTTTCATTCATGCTTTTAACTTCTAAGTTTGTAATTATTACATAATATCCACCTTTATTACAGACTAAAGTGTACAAAGGCAGATTAGTTACTGTCTTTGGTATATTGCATGACACTGAGACTTGGGGTCCAAGCAACCTTATCATGCAGGCAGTGGGTGGACCCACCAGATAGGTCTTCAGCCCATACCTCATCCCTTCTTCCTTTTTCATCTGATAGTCACCAGTGTCTGTTGTTTTCACTTTTACGGTAGGGTGTATTCAATGTTAGCTCCACCTTAGAAGTGAGAACATGTGGCATTTGGTGTTCTGTGTTTTCCTTATTTCTCTTTAGATAATGGCCTCCAGCTCCTTTCATGTTGCTGCCAAGGACATGATTTCCTTCTTTTTTCTTTTAATTCCTGCCTAGTTTTTTGTGGTATATAGGTACCACATTTTCCTTTTCCGATCCACTGTTGACCGGTACCTAGGCTGATTTCACATGTTTGCCATTGTAAATACTGCTGCCATGACCATTTGTGTGCATGCGTGTTTTGCACAGAAGGATTTATTTTCCTCTGTGTATACCCCAGTGGTGTGATTGCTGGGTCAGATGGTAGTTCTGGTTTAAGTTCTTTGAGCAATCTCCGAAGTGCTTTCCATGGTGTCTGAAGTACTTTGCATTTTCACCAAAAGTGGACCAGTGTCCCCTTTCTCTGCTGCCTCGCCAGTGTCCTTTTTTTTTTAAACTGTGTAACCCCCATTCTGACCAGCGAGAGATATATCTCATTGTGCTTTTGATTTATATTTCTCTGACAATTAGGTTGAGCATATTTTCAATTTGTTGGTTGCTCTCACATCATCTTTCGAGAAGTGTGTGTTTATATCCATTGCCTACTAATTATTAGGCGGGTTGGCTAATTGATTTCTGTAAGGTCTTTAAGGTAGATTCTGGATATTAGGCCTTGGTCAGGCACATAGTTTGGGAACATTTTCTCTCATCCTGTATGTTGTCTGTCTACTCTGTGGGTGATTTCTTGTGTTGTGTGGTGGCTCTTTAGTGTATTAGGTCCCACATGTTGATTATTGCTGTTGTTACCGTGTCATGTGGCATCTTAGGCATATAAATGCTTTGTCAAAGCTGATGTCAAGAAGGGTATTTCCTAGGGTCTCTTGTAGGATTTTTGTACTTTGAGGTCTTCCATTTACATCTTTCATTCATCTGAGTGAACTTTGGTACATAGTGAGAAGTAGAGGCCTAGTTGTACTTACTCTTCTGCATATGGCTCGCCACTTATCCCAAAACTATGGAAAAGGGAGTTCTTTCCCTTTTACTTATCATTGTGTATTTCATCCAGCATCAGGTAGTATGAGGTGTGTGGGTTTACTTCAGGTTCTCTGTTCTCTTCCACTCATCCATGTGGAAGCAGGTCCCTAGAGTTTGAGTGAAATTTCACATCAGGGGGTGTGATGCATCCAATGTAGTTTGGATTTCTCAGAATTGCTTTGGAAATGCAGGGCATTTCCTGGTCTCACATGAACTTCAGCATTGTTTATTTCTATGTCCTTAAAACCAATTTGCTCTCTAGTAAAGGTATACAATTAAAGAGTAGAGTGGGACATTATAATCCATGCATATGTACCTTGTGTAATAATGAAAGCAAGGCATTGTCTCTGTTACCTTGTGTAGTTATTATTTATTAGTTCTCTATGGTTGCAATATTCAGAATCCTTCTTTTCAGCCTTTTTTGGAAAATACGGTAGGATACAGTTAACTCTAGACATCCTACTGTGGAATAGAACAGCTGAATTTATTCCTGTCATCTGAGTGTAATATTGTATCCATTTCCCAGTTCCTGCCCCAACTCCCCAACCCCCAGGCTCTCTTCACGACTGTGGAATGTTCTACTTCTAGGAGATAAAGTCGTTTAGAGAGAAAGTTGATCTCATTCTCACATGCATGAAATCTTGCAGTGTTTGTCTCTCTCTTCCTGACTCATTTCCTTGAAGGTCGTGTCCTCCAGGTTTCTGTATGTTGCTGCAGATGACATGGTTTCATGGATTTCTATGGCCAAGGAGGATTCCATTGTGTACTGCAGTTTCTTTATCCCTTTATCTCTGCACGAACAGGTAGGTGGATTGGATACCTTCGCTATTGTGCATAGTGCTTCAATTGCCATAAGAAGGCCGATATCTCTTCAACATAACAGATTCCATGTGCTTTCTGTGTGTAACCAGTGGTGGGATTCCTGGGTGAACGGGTAGTTGTAAAATATTTAAGTCACCTTCCACTGTTACGCTTCGTGTGTATAGTAATGTACATTCTCACCAATAGAGTATAAAATCTCTTTTTCTGCATTTCTACATTGGCCACTGCCTGTGAATGTATGGGTTTTTTGTTGTTTTTGGTAAGTTTCATTCTAATTAGAGTGAGAGGTATCTGAGTGTGGTTTGCACTTAGACATGTGTGTGAGGATTAGTGAAACTGAGCAACTTCTCTGTGACCTGTCAGTCAATTCCCTGATTACTTTTCAGATGTGCCTGTTCAGGTTCTTTGCCCAGTTTTAGCTTGGGTATTAGGTTGTGTTCATTTTCCGAGTTAGAGTAGTGTTAGTTTCTCATACATGTTAGATTGCAACCCCTTTCACAGATACGATTCTGCTGAACTTTCTTTCAATCTGTAGGATGCCTTCTTTTATTATTATTATTATACTTTATGTTCTAGGGTACATGTGCACAACGTGCAGGTTTGTTGCATATGTATACATGTGCCATGTTGATGTGCTGCACCTATTAACTCGTCACTTACATTAGGTATATCTCCTATTCTATCCCTCCCCCAACCCCCGAACCCACCACAAGCCCCAGTGTGCGATATTCCCCTTCCTGTGTCCAAGTGTTCTCACTGTTCAATTCCCACCTATGAGTGAGAACATGCGGTGTTTGGTTTTCTGTTCTTGCAATAGTTTGCTGAGAATGATGGTTTCCAGCTTCATCCATGTCCCTACAAAGGACATGAACTCATCAGGATGCCTTCTTTAATGGTTCGTTGTTTCTCTTTCCCATGCAGAAGCTCTAAGATAATGTATAGTCCCATGTGTTTGTGTTCACATTTGCTAGCAGTGATTTTTGTGTCCCATCCAAAAAGAACAAAAAATAAGAAAGAAAAAGTATTGCCAAATCAATTGCATGGTCTAAGGGTTTGTTGCCATAGATAATTTTTGCTTTTGTTTTCTTTCTTTTTTGCAAACTGCATGCATAGATACAAGTTTTGCTGAAATAAACTCCCACTTTTCTTATAGGAGATTTGTGGCTCCAGGACTGGATTTAAGTGTTTTATTTTGTGCTGATTTGGGGGTATTATATTTCAGACCCTGAAATGTTGATTTCTTTGACTTGTTTTTGTCTGATATACCACAGTGGGGCTTGTGTTCAAATTAAGCTGTGGGACATCCTTTAGATACTGGGTTCAAACAATTCTCTCCTTCCTTGATGTTCCCTTAGGGGAGAGGTGCCAGAAAGTCTGGGAAGATCCATAGTGGGAAAAGTTTATCTGTGTTTCCTGGAGACTCATGGCCAGCTCCCTTCTGCACAGGACTTCTGGAGAAGGCCAGCCCTACCACTTGCATAACTACCTCCCATCTCCAGCCCTTCAGTAAATATTTAAGTGATTCATTAAATATTTACAACTTAAAAAAGTAGAGTAACCCGGTGGAACTTGAATTTAACTAGAATTTAAGTTTGAGAGTAACTGGTCAGTAGAACAAGTGACATAGATTGGGTGACATACTGTGGTTTTTAAGTGTTTTTTAGTTTGTTTGTTTTATTTTTTGTTTTCCTTAAACAGAGTTAGCAGTAATTAATTTGAATAAAGAAGGAAAACATTAAACAGTTGGCAGGCGTAATGCAAACGCTATTCCATGACTTGTTCAGCCATAGCCTCAATGTGACATGCTAGACTATGAATCCTAAAGACTGGTATACGGTTACTGCACTGGAGTTACTATTCTCATTCCAACACTAGAACATTCTGAGTAGTGTTTTAAAATTTTATTTTAACGAAAGTTAAGGAAAAAACCCGTTACTTATACACTAAAGAAAATAAACATAAAATGGTTTCCCGCCTGACATGCAAAAGTCCCATGGCCTGATCCTGGCTAGGAGGAGCAGCTGGTGTTGAGGAGTGGGGTCAAGATGTAGCTGAGCTGCAAGCCACCTAGATGTGGTTTCCTGGTGTCACGGTCTGGGTGAAGGATGATGCAGAGCTGGTGTTCTGGCCAGCATCCCAGTGCGGCCCCAGCCACTGCAGGATGTTTCCAGCCTACTGGGATTCGGGCTCCAGCTGACAGGACAGCTTGTGGCTGCAGGACAGAGAAGCAGCTGTGAGGCCACCATAAGCTACACATCAGGTCCCCTCTCATTGCCTGACCAGCTGGAATCCTGGGTCCCCAGCAGTCCCCATGCAACAAGGTTTGATGCTGGCAGTGGAGTCATGGCCATAGGCTCTCTGCTGCTGTCCACAGGAGAGCCTCCTCTAGGCCAGGTGGGGTGGCTGACACCTGTACTGTCAGTACTTTGGGAGGCTGAGGTGGGTGGATTGCTTGAGGCCAGGAGTTTGAGACCAGCCTGGACATCATCGTGAAACCCCACCTATACCAGAACAACAACAGGGGAACGACCGGATTTGGTGGTGGATAGCAGTAATCCCAGCTGCTTGGGAGGCTGAGGAAGGGCTTGAGCCCAGGAGGCAGATGTTGCAGTGAGCAGAGATGGTGACACTGCAGTGCAGCCTGGGCGACAGAGCCAGACCACGTTAAAAAAAAATGGAGGCCGGGCGCGGTGGCTCAAGCCTGTAATCCCAGCACTTTGGGAGGCCGAGACGGGCGGATCACGAGGTCAGGAGATCGAGACCATCCTGGCTAACACGGTGAAACCCCGTCTCTACTAAAAAATACAAAAAACTAGCCGGGCGCGGTGGCGGGCGCCTGTAGTCCCAACTACTCGGGAGGCTGAGGCAGGAGAATGGCGTGAACCCGGGTGGTGGAGCATGCAGTGACCTGAGATCCGGCCACTGCACTCCAGCCTGGGCGGCAGAGCGAGACTCCGTCTCAAAAAAAAAAAAAAAAATGGAGAGCTTTCTCCCACCCTCTGCCCATCTCCCAGGCCCTCACCTCTCCTTGTCACTGAGCTGCTCCATTCTTGAGAAACAAGTGACAAATTTCTCCAGAGGCTGAAGCCTGTAATTCATGGCAGCCACTTGGAGTAGCTGCAATTCCTGCAGAACTCGGACCTCCTAGAGACAGAGGACAGGATGCTGACAGGGCCTGGGTGGAAGACGCTGAGGGGACCTTTGGCAGGCAGGGAGAAGGGGCTGGTCCCTGGGGCCGTTCTCTGAGGGGGCCCAATGCAGCCCCCAGCCTGTTCTCAGAGTTGGATGTAAATAGCCCCTCCTGCAGGAATTGGTCTTTCATTCCAGTGCCTTTCCCACTTTCTCCACTGAGATAGGTCTCCTCCTCCTGTGTGTGTCAAACCCAGTAAAACTAAGATGTAGAGGATGGAGCCAGGGAGTGTCCTGTCCAGGGTGGACTGTGACGTCCACATCCCCAACCTCATCCAACGTGAATGTCCCAGCTGCTCACCTTTCTCCTCTTGTTGGTGTTGCCCTGGAAGTCAGATAGAGCCCATCAAAAAGGTCCCTGGCCCACAACAGCCCCACCCCATCCCTTCCCATGCTGCACTACTGCCAGGGCCACCAGGGTCAGGGGATGTGCACATGACACAACGTGAACCTGCCTCAGGCTCCGGGCTCTAGGGCAGTGGGCATGGGAGCTGAGGCTCAGGGACCTTCTGCCCCAACCCTCTGAGATGACAGACAGAGAAACTGAGGTCTCCCTTAGAAAGAAAGTGCTCAGTTATCCTGGAATTGCCTGCCCTTGGAAAGGCTCAATTTCACCCTCCTATTATGGGACTACCCTAGGGAGAGGCTGAGTCCAGCTCAGCCCACACCTCAGCAGCGCTGCAGTCAGGCAGCTCTGCAGCTTCACCACTCAGGGATAGGGACTGCTGACTGCCATGGAGCCTCTGTCAGTCAGAGGTAATGAGATGGGCCTGACACTCCCACCCACAGGAGCAGCTATGAGGCTCTCAGGAGAGGAGGTTTTCCAAGGGCTAAGATCTAAGGGCTCCTTCCAGGCCCCTGTCCTCCCAAGCCTCAGGATCCTGGTTCCCAAGCAGCCTGCCCCAGGGTCACTCACATCCAGATCATCCGGGATGGCTGAATCCAACCTGTGTAACTCAGTCAGAAAATCCCCCAGGAAGGGGACCACGCCCTGTGCCATGGAGGGGTGGGGAGGTGGGAGGGGTAGTGGTGATGAGTATTGACCCTCAGGTGCTTGCCCAAGGCCCTGTCCCATGAAATCCCATCAGCCCCTGTGTCCCAGAACCCCCGTCCCCAGGTCTCCCAGTTGTAGCAGCCAAAGACCCTCAGCTGCCTTTCCCAATTCCCTGCCTCCTCTATTCCAGCTGACCTCCAAGTCTGGCAATCACTCCTAGTTACCTCTATGGTGGGATTTTAACAAGTCACAAGGGCCTGTGGTCCCAGCCTTACCCTAGGGACACTCTGAGTTCTGCTTTCCCAGACCCTTGCTCTGGTCTCTCCAATGGAGGTTTTCCAGGCCCAGTGGCCATAGGAGGGCAGGGCTGGGGAGGAAGCCCCCGCTGTGTTGATATGGAGGCCTCCAGCTGGTGGGGAAAAGAGCCCTGTCCTCTGATCCCCTGCGGTCCCTCCATGCCACAGTCTCACTCACCTTCTTCTGCCTCTGTAGCCTCATCTGGGCTCTCTGGGGGTTCCTCTCCTGGGTGGCCACCTTAAAGCTCCCCGCCTGCCAGGTGTCAGGGACAGGGACAGTGAGGCTCTCCTCCCTTCCCCCAGTTACACCCCAGCCACCCCACACTTGGATCTCCAGGGACTGGCGTGAGTCACCTGGCACAGTGCTCATACCACTGGCCAGCTCCACACTCCCTGTGTGTGTCACCCACTCATGCAGCCAGGCCTCCCTGAGACTGTTTCCTTTCTATAAAGAGCCATGAAAACCACAGCTACCTCACAGGACCTCCTGAGTACTGTTTCCTGTAGCTGTTGTCATTGTTCTCCCCCTCATCCCTCTGAGGAAGAACCATTCACGAGCACCCTCCAATTGCTTTCTTTTCTTGAACCTCATTTCCACCCTGTGAGGCCTGCACTACAGGCTCAGCATCCCTTCATTTTCCAGATAAGGAAACAGAGACCAAGAGTGGGCAGTGACTCCCCAGGGCCCCAAAAGAGAAGGCACCTCCTCCCCATCCTGGAGGCTCTGTCTCGGCTGCCCTCACCCCATATCCCAGCACCACCACCCATCAGGGTCTTGTTCTTTGGAGTCTCTGAGTGTCTAGGTCTCCAGCCTTGCAGAGTCTTGATGGGAAAGGGACAGGGCATTTTAGGAGACCTGGTTAAGTGGCACCTGCCTATCTGAGCCCCACTGGAGTCTCTGCCACACAAACTGGGTTTGCGCCATGCCAAATCCATGGTTTGGCCTCTCCAGTGATCCCCCAGGGGAGTTCCGTGCACAGAACTCTCTTCCTCCACTCAGGATGTGGCCTCCTGAGGCGACATCTCTCACGGACATGGCAGGGTTTTCCAGAATCCTGGGTGGGGTGACATGTTGCCTTCTCATTTGCATGGAGGTTTCTGAGATCTGGTCAGGGAGGATCCCCTAGGAATGCATGGATCCCCCAGATACTTGTCATGAGCATGTGTCACTGCTAATTGGTGAGAATCCTGTGACATGACCATTTTCAGATGTCTGCAAAGGGCAGAGTGGGGAGTCCCAGCAAACACATACATCTGTCCTGAGTTTGCCCATTGGGACCCATAGCTGGGCAGTCTACTGGACTCCCTGGCATATGAGCTTCCTCTGTTGTGGTTCCCTCTTTCCCCCAGTGTGGACTGCAGTCCCTGCCCATGGAGGTGCGCTGCAGACAGAAGCAGCAGCGGAGGCCTGGCTTCCTAAGGAATTGCGGCCAGTTTGAGGAAGGAAGAAAGTCCCACCTACCATGACCACCCCCCAGCCTGGAGGAAGCTCCATGCCAGCAGCATGGACCAGCATGGGAGCCAGAGTCCTGCTAATGCTGCAGCTCATCACCCTCACTCAGAAGCCCAGCAGCCATTGCCACATCCTATTTCCAGGGCCTGCTGCCCCCGTGCCCCCACGTGCCCATCGACCCACACACCTCTCCTCCTGTTTGCCCAAAGTAGGCATGGAGGGAATTTTTCAAGTCCACTTTTAGTAGGTAAGTCAAAACATTACAAAATAACCACTGCACACCGGGATCAATGCCCTTCCAAACTCACTCTTTCCTCTGACCCTTAAACACTTGTCCCACATCTCCCAGACTCCACTGTACCTTGATCAGCAGGTCCCTCTTCACTGCAGTGTCTTTTTTGCAGAGTTCTTTTAGATATTTTGAGCTTTTGCTATTGATAGAAGAAAGAAAAAAGGGTAAATTTGGGAATCACGGGGGAGATTTGTGAATTCCAATCCCTTTTGTTTGAAAACCCAGTGAATCTCAGCTTCCTGCGTGAGAGTTTCCAGTGGGGTCGTCTGATGACAAGGGCTCCAGAGGACCAGGGTGGGACTGTCATGCTCCTCCCCTGGCCCATCTCCACTTCACATGAGCCCCTGCGTGTTCACAGTTAGCTTCCAGCTGGACACAGTTCCACTGCTGGGTGCAAACACCTGAAAGCCTCCAGTTGGCTCCAGTCTGTTCCTGATGGTTAAAAAACCTTACTCCTGAGTTAGAAATCCTTGCCTAGGAGTCCAGGGCAGCTTAGTGACCACACCTACCAGCCCATCCCTGCCTCCAGCATCCCTGTTCTCCAAGAACCTTTCAGAATCGTTGAGGGCACATGGGGAGACCTATGGGTCCCTAAGTCAACACTGGTGCTCCCGTGGAGGGAGCTCCTCACCTGGACACTGCTGCCCACGTCTTGTGTAGCCGATGTATTGGGTTGCTGCGCAGAGCAGAGACGATGGCGTGCACTGAGGAGAAGTTGTTGAGGCTTAGGCACTCCTGGAGAGGGAAGAGTGAGCTGTGAGGTCCAGAGTTGGAGTCAGACCCACTTCAGCCTCAGCCCCCTCTGCTGAGATCTCCCTTCTTGAATGAAGCAGAGGCCCAGGGAGCCTCAGGAGGGTACACCTGGGGCTGAGTGAATGTCACTCATCTAGAAAGATTTCAGTTCAACCCAAGGAAGATCCCAGGTCAGACGTGAGCAGCCACCACTGGGCCATGGGGGTCAAGGTCAGGGAAGTTCAGAGAAGAAGGGCCTAGGGGATGTGTAGGGCTCAGGCTAGAGATACAGATGCCAATCCTGAAAGCCGATGGAGGAGAAGAGGCAGTTCCCCATTTTTAAAGAGGGAATCCCAAGGCCCAACCATGGCTTACCCTGGCCACCTTGATCCAGTGCTCCACCACCCTGGCCCTATCCTGGACCCTCATGCTGTGGTCCCCGAGGCAGGAGGTGGTGACACAGTTGGCGAGCCTGTTGAAGTGTGCAATGGTGGCACAAACTGTGGGTGCCACGTGCTCACTCCCCTTCTGATGTCGTTGGCCCCAGATGGAGCCCAAGCATTCGTAGAGCTCCACCTTCTTGAACAGATCCTTTGGGGAAGGAGGAGAGTGTCATGGACACAGCACACCCCAGCTCAGAGTCACCCACAGTCCCAGGCAGGGACTGAGCTCACAGTTATCCACAGTCTCTGGCAGGAACCGAGCTTGAGCTCAGAAAGCTTTAAAATATGCTCCAGACTTGTGGGAGTCCCTGGGTTTGGTTTTCTGCCCACCGAGGGCCCTGAATGCATCATGTCCCAGAAACCAACAAGGGTGGGAAGAGAGAGTGACATTTTCTCCCAGGCCATCCTCATTCCAAGAACTAGAAGGTGGCTCAGGCCTCCCCATCCTGAGGCCTCATCTTCCTCCCATCCCAATCAGCCCTCTACTCCTTCTCTCCCTACTGGTGCAGTTTCCTTGCAGCAGCTGCAACCTTGGGCTCTGTTTGGGTGTCTGCCATAGAATCTAGTATGCATCAGGTACCTAATAAGTGCTGAGGGTAGTGAGGCTCCTGAGCAGCTGGGTGAGTGACCCATGGCCCTGCCTGCCCCTCGGTGATCACCTGCCCTGTCCTGCTTTCTGTCCATCCCCTGTCATTCAGTCTGCACAGTCACTCTGTGCAGCTGGCACGGGCGATGTCCCATCTCTGCTGTCCACATGCAGACAGGGAAGGCTTGTGGGTGAGGAAACTCATCCAGATCCCATGGTTGGTAAGAAGTGGGGCTGAAACTGGACCCAGGGCATTGGCCGCTCCTCAGAGACAGGCTGGCCTGAGACAGCTGGTGCCAGAGGCACAGCCTGCAAAGCCCAGCTGCTCACCGCATCCATAAGGGTCAGCTGCTCAGCCAGCAGCCTGGGAGGGAAGGTCGTGATGTCCGGCAGCTCCTCAGTGTGTTGGCTCTGGACAGTCCCGGGACAGGGACAGGGTGACTCTGGGGCTGACTGTGGCTCCAGCACTGTTCCTGGAGGGGGCCCTTCCCCTGGTGCTGGTGCTGATGCTGAATGTAGATATCCTGGTGCATCCAGGGCTACAGGTGACTCTGGCTCTAGAGCAGGCCGCAGGTCCGCCAGCAGTGGTGGTGCTGGCTCCAGGGCCAGCATTGTTAATGCGTGTTGCCCAGGAGGTGGAGCAGGATCTGGAAAAGGAGAAAAGGTCACCATTCCAGTCACTCTTCACTGGGATTTCCAAGTATAGAAATGCCTGGATGGAATTTAAGGGAATTATAGCCCCAAAACACCACCCCCGGAAAGTCTTCTCACCATCTGGCTTGGCCTCCTTGGGCTCCGGAAGCACCAACTGGCCTAGGACAATTTCCTGATGGTCCTCCACGCCCAGTCCAGGCCAGGCGAAGGTCCTGAAGGCCAGCTTTATCCAGAAAGATGACCGTTGCAGGGCCTGGCAGCAAACTGAGGTGTTTTCAGGGGGCCAGGTGAACAAAATGGAGGTGGTGGTGCTGGTGATGGAGTGGACAGCTGAGTCAGAGGCCTGGCCTTCTCCCACACAACCCTCCAGGGCACCCTTGCGTGGTTCTGGGTCCCTGGCCTCTTGCTGCCTGTGTAGAGGACAGCCCCACCCTACCCCAAGCCATCAGTGCTGTCCTGGAAGGGGCAGACCTGGCCATGCAGCAGGGCTCTACAGACCCTTGTGTGCCCCGGCGTCCCACTGACATTCTCTTTCCAATGGCCCTGGAGCACAGCACTGTGCACCTGGGCACTCAGGACTGCAGCTCCAGGCAGATTTGTGAGCAGCTTGCTCATCAAAGCTCCAGCTTTGGTTCCCCTGGTCCTGGGGTTAGGAGGGTAGGGGCAGATGTTGGGTGGAGGAGGACAGGGAGAGCTGGGAAGCCACAGTGGTGGGGATGGGTCTCTCAGTGGCCAGTTGTGACCCCACCCTCACCTCTCCTTTGCAAGGGACCTAAGTCTTCATTTACAGAACTCACTATTTGCCTCTTGCAGGGGAAGTTCCCAAATGTCAGCCTTGTTGTGGGAATTATAAGACATGAACCCCAGGGCTCCTTTATTCTCTCCCCAGCCAGAGTCCACATATTTCCCCCCATGTTTTGTGGGTGAAGAGGCCTTTCAGAACCCTAAGTCCCCCCAGTTTATACTTGTTGGGCTCCGTCATTCTAGTCAGAATCTGGGAGGATGCCACCATATGTAGAGGAGGCCATGAGGGTTTCCCCTCTAACATTCTGTAGATATGATTTGTTTATTCTGTCTACTGTGAGCACCTGACTCTGAGTAGAATTGAGGCCCAGGGATTGTCATCTGCCTTGTTTATGAAATTAGGCCAAGTCACAAGAAGAACGATGCACAAATGAGGTGTTTTGTATGTATGTGTTGAATGAGTGAACCCCAACCATTGGAGAACCCAGTGAGCCTCTCCAGATGTCTGAGTGGGCCTGTGGCTCCTTTTTCAGCATGAAGGGACCCCTCTTCTGTCTGTGTCAAGGAGAAAGTCCAGCCAGAAGGAAACTCAGACATCCTTTAGCAATGCCATTGCAGACTTGCTTTCTATGTGCCTTTCCAAACAGCAAGAGAGATGGGCCATTGCGGCAGAATGCTGAGAGCTGCTTCAGTGAGTGGGAAGAGAAAAGTAATAAACATGAATCACAGCACCCACAGCAGATTGTCCAGAGTTTTAGGCTCTAGGGACCCCTTTGTTTGCTGTGTCTTAGATCATTCAGTCCCTACAAGAGCCCTGTGAGCTTTTATCTTCTCATTACTCCCTGTTCCACAGGAGCCAACTGAGGCTCCAAGAGGTGCATCTTCAAGACACAGCCAGTAGGGGACAGAGGCACCTCCGTGCCTTGGAGGGGATGGACACTCACCTTCTAACCAGTAGTTCCAAAAAGTGTGGCACGGTGATAAAGTCCCAGGAGGGACCCAGGCAGGTGGCATAGGAGGAGATGGGTTTAGTTAGAAAGGCTGGAACCAGGGACTCCAATAGCTTCTCCCCTGTGCTGGGCTGGAAAGTTGGCATCCTGCAGATCTCATTTTCATACTAGGGGGACAAGGAGGGACATGGGAGTCAGTGTAACACCATGAACCACCACAGGACCGGGCTCTGGAAATCACTCCAAGAAGCATCAACCCTTCAGGGACTTGTGCATGTGGAGACCCTGGGTGCCCATGGTGAAAAGGGTTCTAGGCTTTCAAGGTAAAATTGCATGTGAGGATGGAGAAGGATAAAATGATTCATGCCTTCAAGGTGAATGTCAGCTGTGGGGCAATAGCACCCTCTGTATCAACAGCCTGCATGAAGAGCATCATCCCTGCAATCCTCAAAAATCACCCTCATGGTGGAGAAGAGGAGATGCGGGCTTTTGGATGTCAGATGCTTGCTCAGCAGCACCCGGGTCAGAGGAGAGCACCTTCCACAGGGAGGACTGGATGAAATTCCCTCTAGGCCACCTGAGGCTCCGCTTCTGTATGGAAGGGAACGGCCTGGGGAGGTCTCATCCCCTCCTTATTTTAGTGACAGCGCACCAGACAAGATGCTCTAGAAGAAGCCTTTGACTTAAAAGGATATGATTGTTTTTGTTCTTTAACATGAATGTGAGTCTGGAGAAACAGCTATGGCCATCCCAGCCCTGGCCAAGGGGAAAATGCCGGAAGACTCCAGGGTGGGAGGAAGCGCATCCCAACGCCTAGGATCTGCCAGGTGACTTGTGGAAGAGAAAACGCAGGCAGGTATTGAAACCGGGAAAGGTTACGGAAATGTATGTTTGAAACTGGAAATGAAACAAGGTAATTTTCTCTGCTACACAGACAGCAGATTGGCAAAAAGTTAAGAGCATGTTAGTATTCAGGGGAGGTTGCATTCAAAGAAGCAGCTACCTTCAGAGGCTGCTGGTGACCGTGTGAGCAGCTGGAGCCCTTTTGGAAAGTCAGCTGGCTAGAGCTGTTGAAACTTGCTATCTGCACATCCTTTCACCCAGATTTCCCTTTCCCGGGTGTGTCTTCCACAGGGGATTTGTGTATTTTATGGGTTGAATTGTGTCCCCTCCCCCAAATGTAACTGTTTCTATTCTTAACCCCAGAGACTCAGAATGTGACTGTGTTTGGACACAGAGTTCTCCAAGAGGTAATTCAGGTGAAGTGAGTTCATTAGGGTGGCCCCTAATTTAATATGCTTGGGGTTCTTACAAGGATAGGTGGGCAGCGCACAGAGAAGTTGAAGAGAAGACCCTGTGCTGACCGAGATAGAAGTCAGCCATCTCCACGGCAAGGAGAGAGGCCCAGAGAAACCACCCCAGACTGACAGCTTGACATTGGGCTTCCAGTCTCCAGAATTGTGAGGAACCAGATTTCTGTGGTTAAGCCCTTCAGTCAGCGTGGCATGTTATGGCAGCCCTGGGAAACTGCTCCAGCCTATTAGGACACACTTAGGATTATGCTGCCTATAGAAAGGCTGCCTAGATAGGGAATTTTATCATGACAGGCTCCACCAGCACTGAGAGGCTGACCCACTGTGGAACAGGGCCTCCGTTAAGGAATATTACAGTGACATGCGAGGGTGCAGCTCCTGCCCAGTGGGTCTGCAGGGATGCGTTCTCTGAGATGACACTTTAAAGACAGATGCATAGAGGAGCTTCACCTTCTTTTGTTGTAATCACCACCCCCGCAACTCGTTTGTGTAGAAGTGGTGGATTTTAAGTCCTGGAAGAGGTCGGCAGGGCAGAGGAGCTGCCTGTTGCCGGAGATACACTTAGGGTGGGGAGTTAAAATGACAACAGTATGAGTATGTTTCTACAGTGTTACCATTGTACCCAATTCTTATAGCAACATGCTGGGATACTCCTGGCATAGTATAAAGCGAAAACAGAAGGATTTTCTCTGATCTTCCTCTGATAGGTGAAAGGGACTTTGCCTGTAACCAAGTTGCCACTGGGGACTAATGGCAGCCAGATTCCTTTGGGAGAGGACAGCGGCTCACTCAAGTGTGAAAGCCCTAGGACAGAGCCTAGTGAGTCCCCATATTCGTATTTGAGTCCTGGGTCCACCCTGGTTTTCTGGAGTCCCTGTCTGTGGAGACCCTTCTGTGCCCAATCTCACCCCAGACCAGCACTGGCCATGGTTGGTAGCAGGCGGCCCCTGCCCTTCTTTGAAGAAGATGGAGAAATGGAATCCATCCAACAGCTCCTGCTTGATCTGCTGTGTGGAGCTCTGCAAAGAAATTGCCCGAGAGCCAGGCGAAGAGGTGTCAGTGGCCTGCCTGGCTGACCCCATAGTGGGATACCCCATTAGAACTCCTCCCTGGCGCCCCCTTCCGCAACAGGATTTGGCACATAGGAGCATTTATATAGACCTCCAGCCAGAGGATGTTGACGTCTCTGGCAGATGAAGCTTGAGGTCTTGGGATTCAGATCTGAGCAGACAAACTATGTCCTCGACACTCACCTTCCCATCCTGAAGGCATGGCCTGGGCTGTGAACCTGACATACCGACCAGGCTCCAACCCCCCAACAACCTACCTGCTCCTGTCCAGGGAGGGCCCCTCTTCTCCTGTTTCCCCCAAACACATGGGGAGGGGCTCAGCGCTGCCCTGATGGACACAGCTGAGGCCTGGCCTGGATGGGCCTGCCCTGGGTCCTGTGTTACCTGTGGGTGCCTTCTGGCAAATGGCCAGAGGCGTCGAGGGTGAGGATTGAACCAATGTCTATATTCTCGAGAAAGACTCTCATTTTGGCCTCTTCTGCGACGAGGAGGTCGACAGCACGTCGGGACACAGCAAGAGAACATGTTGTTCCCTTGGGTGTCAACTACCAACTGAGCTGGAAATGGGGCTGTGTGTATAATATGGGTGCCTAGTTACCAGAATTCTAAGTTCTGTTGGGGTCTGTCAGCAAGGAAGTGAGGTCACATCTTGTAGGTTCCATCCTGTAAGCTCCTCCTTTCCATAAGACCTACTCAAAGGCCTCATTGGGCTTCTGGCCCCTCACCCTCCCCCATCAACTCCTTACCTTTCACCATTATGCCAAAGTGTGCCCCTTCAGCACCTTGGGAAGACCTGGATGTAACCAGGGTCCCAGTTTTAAGGAGACAGTTCTGGGTCAAACAACCTTTATCTTAGCAGTTGTGAGACCCTAGAGAACTCCTTTGGTGTTTTGGGGCCTTCCCAGCATGCACAATGGGGGTTATGCTAGCATCTCCCTCCTAGGGAACTCATGAGGTGTGTTTTGAGATAGATCTTATAAAACTCATGATGTGATGTTCCCTGTAGATATTGCACACAGTTACAGATGGAAGAAATACAAGAAGCGTTGAGAAGTAGCATGGAAGAGAACTCCAGTGGGCCTGGGGTTCACAGTGTGATCTCAGGAGAAGACACTTTTGCTCTGGGCCTCCTCTTTCATGATGCACCAGTAGAGGTTGAGATTAAATGAAATTCAGACATCCTCCTCCTCTGACATTGCACCTTCCAGTGCCTTCCAATTTTGTTTAGACCCAGACCCTGTGCCCCATCTCAGCCGAGGGTGGGCAGCATCCACAAAGACAGCACTGAGGGGTTAGTGACTCCCTTCTGAATGATGGAATAGGACACACATGATGGAACGCACTTCTGGGGTAGTTCAGGATGTTACAACAAAGAGCCATAGCCTGGGGAGCTGATCAAAAACAGAATTATGTTTCTCCCAGTTCTGGAGGCTGGAAGTTGGATATCAGGGTACCAGCCTGGTCAGGCCTTAGTGAAGTCTCCTGCCACATTCACTGAGCTTTTACAATGCTGTCCTTTCTTTGGAGGACGGCTCAAATTTAGGAGCATGGGTAGACCTCCATTCAAAGCCCAGCTCCCACTTGTAGCTTGGTGACCGTGAGGAAGTCATAGAACATCCCTGTGCCTGTTTTCTCCTCTGAGAAATGGCGTTAGTGAGAATTGCTTCCCTTTTTAATCACAGAAAATAAAGCATGCAAAGAAGTTAACTCGGTGCCATTGGGCAGAGAGTGAGAGGCCAGCAAACCAGAGAGATCAACTTGCCCATATCAGTGGTGAGGAGTGGGGAGAGTGGGTGAGGCTGGGGCAGGAAGCAGGCCAGCCTGCCAGAGCCCAGGAACAGGTGAAGGGCAAGAGTGAGCTCCTCACCCTGAATTCTCAGGGGACACAGACATGCAGGGCCTATGGGGAGCACAATCATCAGGGCTGCCCTCGTTCCCCTGGTTTCCCCCATATCTGATGTGGTCCCAGGGCCCCCTCCTCCTGTGTTTCCTCTCTGCCCTGCTGTCTTCCTGGCTGCCCTCCCAGGACTCATTTTTGGCCCTGGTCAGGTGGAGTCTTGAGGTAACTATAGGCCTGTTAATAACTCCTCAGAGGTTCAACCCGCCGTTTGTTGAGACCTTTGAGCTTAGTCAGAGACCTCCACCCCCTGGGACCTGAGAGAAGGCTGGAGGGAGCTGACAGTGCAATGGCGGTTTTCCCTGGGGCTGCCACTCCAGGACCCACTGGCAGGTATGTGCCAAATTCGAACTTTCTTTTGGGTCTCTGGGGTTCTGAGGTGTGATTTTCCCTCTGAAGATAGGCTGAGTCCCTGGTGGGTGCCTTAGCCTCAGAAATGGGTCCCCCTGAGCTGGGAGCTGTGCTCTAGCCTCAGTGTGCTAGGATACCTCACACCTGGCCCTGCCCATTCCGGCTTCCAAAGCCCACGGAGAGGGTCTGTAGAAATTGCTAGACACGAAAGGGCTACAAATAAGTCATAGGAAGTGTATTTACATAACTCAGTGGTTTTCAGCCATTACTATACATTTACTTCAGGAAAGGAGATATTTAAAAATGTGAATACCCTGTGTCACCCTGCAGAGATTTGGGTTTATTTGATGGGGCAGAAAACAGGCATCTTTGGTTGTTTGTTTGTTTGTTTGATTGTAACAGGATCTTGTGCTGTGGCCCAGGTTGTAACACAGTGGCATGATCATGGGCACTGCAACCTTGACCTCCCGGGCTCAAGGAATCCTCCCTTCTCAGCCTCCCAAGTGGCTGGGACTATGGGCATGTACCACCATGCCATGCTAATTTTTGTGTTTTGTAGAGACAGGGTCTCACCATTGCACTCAGGCTGGTCTTAAAGTCCTAACCTCAAGCTGTACTCCTGCCTCTGCCTCCCACAATGCTGAATTTATCTTTTAAGATCTTCCCTAGTGCTTTGAGTAGGCACCCAAGCAAAGAAGGCTTTGCTTGCAGAAGGCTTGTGGAACCCTGTTGAGGCTGCATCTTCTTCACAGCCATCAGATTGTTCCCTGAGGTGTCTGCTTAGCAGTGCACAGGCTATTTACATCAAGGGCTTTGGGGAGCTATTGGGTTTGGGGGTTGGCTGGGGCATGAGTGTTGGCTGTGGGATCTGTCACACCCTGGTCCTATGGGACACCCAGTCTAGGATCCTTCTTCCCAGACCACCATCCTGCCTCTCACTGCTCCTATGACAGGAGGCCAAATATGCTACCCTGGACAGAGGCATCCAGGTGCAGGACCGAAGTGGGGTGACTCGCATCAGGAGGGGTGCAGCTGCTTGCTGGAAGGGTGTTGGGAAGTGTTGGTCCGCCAGCTGTCACGTCCTCCTGTTCTGCTGAATCCCAGCGATCTTCACTTGGTGTCTGGGTTTCAGAAGGGTGTGGCCCTGGGTTCTTGGCTGGCTGAGCTGGTGCTTTTGCAGCCTCTGGGGCTCTCGTATGTGAGGCCTGACCTGAGTTGCTTCAGGAAACTTTTGCCCCTGAGGCTGCCTCCTGCTTAAGAGCAGAGCCTTTGTGTGGAGATCTGGCTGGCCTCCCTAGCGCCCAGCGTGTCCTGTCCTGTTATGTCTGGGTTTGAGGCTGTGTGCAGGGGTCTCTTCCCATAGGGGAGGCAAGGCCAGTCATGTTTGTCAGCGTGAAGCATGGCGATCCCAGCTGGCTGTGGCCGGCCTTTGACTGAAGGAGTCTGAGAATGACCAGGCCTGGGGAGCTGCCCTTCCTGGGAAACAGCGTGTCCCCTCCCCTACTGTAGAGTTTCTGGATGTGACCCAGAGTGTGCTGGGCCTCTGTAGCATGTGCTGGGTGTAGCCGTGTGATTCAGGGTGGGAGGTGCGGGGGATCATCTGCTCTGAGCCAGGTAAGGCCTGGACAGGACTGGGGCAGCCCTCGAAGAAGCCAAGTCTGATGGGAGAATAGGCATGGGTAGAGAGGGGACACGGTCACCAGGGCTGTGTGTCACCTGTTCTTGCTGCTTGGTCTGCCATTGGAGTGATAACAGAGGTGGAGGCTGCTGTGGACCCTCTTTGGCTTCCTGCAAGCAGGTGTTCACGGGGGGAGCAAGGTGGGTGGGGGAAAAAACTGGTCTGTGAGGTGTTGAGTGGTTTTTTGTATGTCATTGTCCTTTTTCTCTCTGCTGTCCCCAACAGCTCTGCTGTACCAGCCCATTGACCAAGTAAGTCACTCAGAGCATCCTGGTCCTATGCACCAGTGTTAAGGCCCCTGAAGGGCCAGAGAGGGCTTAGGAGTTTCTCAGAAGACTGAGCCCGGTGTGGGAGGGCACCAGAGTCACTGAGAACAGACCATTTGAAAAGTCAGGCAGAGGGATCCTGGGCCCTGAGTATGCCTCCCTGGCCTGTGGTAACCATGCCAACAGGGCCAGGGCCTCAATAGAGCTTAGCTACTGAGCTTGGCATTTGGCCAATTGCTCTCTTGGTGGAGGCAGGAAGGTCCTGCTTCCCCAACCCCTGTCTTTTGGTCTCCAGGATCCTTGGAGCAGCTGCAGGGTGGGTAGAGGGGTATCTCTCCCAGCTGCGTGGTGAGATG